AACGGAGGGAGGGACGTGTAATGCGAGCACCGTCAAATGTTTGAGCTGAATTCGCCCGTTCGTCGCAGAGGTCGAAGACCATAGTGTCGGTAAGTCATCTTAACTTGATTAGTTCGTCGAAAATTCAATACTACTCACTCATTTTACGTGAAATTACGAAGTACGGTAGACCCATCATCTCCGTAGAACGTTTGGGACGAATCGGCCTGCTCGTCGTCGAGATCGCCATACTTTGTCGTGGTGAGTACCCCTATATCATACCTCCACAGCGAAAATATGTCCGCGTTCGCTTATTTGCGGTTCAATCCGGGACAATATGGGCTCGAAATGACGGGGAGGACGTGCGCATTCGGCACCGCACGAGATTCCGGCCGAAACGGGGTCGTCGCCGTTGAGAACGACGCAAATTGGTGTGGTAAGTCCCTTCACCAGCCACCATCTTTCCGAGAGAAAGAGACATAGCTCACTCATTTCAAGCCCGAATCAAAACGTTGGGGGCTCGAAATCAAGGTCTATAATATCGCTATGACCTCCCCAGCGCGTTTTAGACAAAGCGGCTTCCTCGTCGTTCAGGAAGCCGTCCAATACCCCGGTGAGTTCCCTTGACCAATACCTCTGGACCGCAAATTTTCTCGTATTCGCTCATTTGCCGTTCAATCCAGGACGTTGTGGGCTCTAAATGACGGGTAGGACGTGCTCAGTTCGCGCCGTACCAGAGTTCAGCCAAAACGGACTCCTCACCGTGGAGAACAACGCTAATCTCTGCGGTAAGTCTCCCAACCAGCCATCATCTCCTCGAAAAATCGTCTGCTCTCACTCATTTCAAGCTCAAATCAGACCGTTAGAAGCTCAAATGGACAGTATGCAGGATCTCCATGACCTCTGTGAAGTTCGTCCCAAACGCTCTCCTCATTGTCGAGGAAGCCGAGACTTACGCTGGTGAGCACCCCCACAGGTCTCTCCCTCACCAAAAAATGCTCGTTCGCACTCGTTTTTTGTCCGATTATCTTCGATATGGGCTCATAATTTTAAAAATGCCTATCGCTACAGGACACAGCGACCGTTTGAGCCGAAACGGACCGTTTGCCATTGAGAACGTCGACTTTTGTGGAGATGAGTGTTCTGCAATCATCTTACCTGATAGAAAGCGGTCTTTCACTCCCTCATTTTTGGATCGATTTCAGTTCTGTTTGGATAGGAATATTTTGACGGACGTATAGTATGACCACCGGCCTCGATTTGATGGCGAACGGCGTCTTCGTCGTAGAGGACGACGACATTCGATCTTGGTGAGTACTATCCCAACATCCCCGTATTTCGTTCGTTTGCGGCCATTTATGGACCGTTCTTCTTCATTTTGGGCTCGAAAGAATGATACTGACCTACGCTATCTGCTACAGTACAGAAACTATCTCAAAAGACCATATAATATCGAGGTTCAGAGGGGGTTTATTCACTTGTGAGTCAATTCCGTGCTCCTTGGCGAGAAGGAATTTGGACTTAGTGTTTTCGCATCCATCGCTCGCCGTAGCGAGCCCAAAAGAGTCATTTGTATGGCTACTAACATATCCCGTCTTTATTCCGTCAGAAAAGCCACTCTCGTTGTTGAACGAGACCGGCTTCTTGGAGGTGAGCGTCCATTTAACCCTGTATCCGAAAATTCAGCCTATCGTACTCATTTCGCGGCCGTTCTTCTTGAATATAGGCTCGAAATGCACTTCTATACATGTGTAATCATAACCAACACTAACACCGCCGATAATGGCCCCGGCGCCGTCTCCAACGACGAGCAATAGGTGCGGGGTCGAACGTGGGAAATTTGGCGAAGTTCAAATCAGCGCCGATTTGCGCTGAGGGATGAGTTCGAGGTTTGAAGGGCTGGGCTTAAGCGCCTTTGCCTTATGCTGGGTATGCTCACTTCAGTATATTTTATCTGCGAGCTGTGCTGACTCATTTGCGATCATTTCGAATTCGAAACTAGGGTTTTGAGTGATTTGACCTGTCAGGGCTAATCGCTCTGCGTTAATTTTTGTCGGTCATAACCAACCGTTCTTTTTACATAGCCAAACTCACCTGTCTTGTGTGGTCTCAGAACAGGTTTGAAATGACTGCTTTGGACAGGTATTGTGTTTTCAATCGCGAATTCTGTGGAGAAAAGTCCCAGCACAGGCGAGGTTCAACCAAAATCACACGCTTTCGATATTTTTACTAATTACCTCTCGATCTTTACTTATATCCACACTCAGCATGCCCGGTACATCGCGTCTATGGGCTGCGTATACTCTGTCGGACAAGGATCGTGATACTTGCGAGAAGGGGGGAACTTGCCGATTTTTCGTCTAATTCGGCTTCCTCAATTTCTTTACTGACGACGTCCTATTTTTTTTTCACAATGGGACTTCAATAGCATATACAACCATTTTGAGGCTTTCAAACGAGTCATTTAAACCAATATTACACCCGCGCTCACAGATCCCAGCCTGTGGCGACATCAAATCGCCGATTTGGTCCCCTACCCATGGTGCGCCCGCAGAAAAAGTCCGTATCCCCCCATTCCTTTTGTTGCAGGGCACTCATATGATGCCGATGATCATATTTTACCAGCAAGAAAGTTCTGCGTTTGCGTTTCGCGGCCAGAGTTTGATTTTGTGGCGGGGGTGGTCTCGATCTAAGCCTCCCGGTCCCGCATCCGGTTGTTTTTCATGGTACGTCTCATTTTTTGTGCTCTATACAACTCAAATAAGCAAGAGTATTCTATCCCATCCAAGAAGCTCATCATCGGTGCCATAGTTCCTTCGAAACCTCGAAATTTGTGCAGGAGGCCGAATTAGGGGGCAAAAACACAAATATTCCCCGAGTTCGGCCGGTTTGCAAGGTATTACCATTTTTTCCTCTGAATATGACTGTTACTGAGTGTATAATTGTATAGAATCCTTGAACACGCCAGCATAATCATTTTCGCACTCAGAATCGCGGAAACGAGGGGGGTGGGTACCATCTTATGCCCCTTAGGGCGAGAACGACTTTGGACTTAGCGTTTTCGCATCCATCGCTCGTTTTAGCGCACCCACACGAGTCGTTTGTATGTCTACTGACGTATACTGTCCTGATTTCATCAGAAACCCCGGCGTCCTCATCGAACGGGACCTATCTCTTGGAGGTGAGTATCCTTAACCCTAGATCCGAAAATCCGGTTTCATGGACTCATTTGTGGGCCGCTTCTTTTGCATATGGGCTCGAAATGTTAGTCTATACATGCACTATAATATTTAAGACGAAAACCATCTATAACGGCCCCGGCGTCGTCGCGAACGACGAGCAGCAAGGAGGTAACTGTGCTCCAATTCTCTTACAAGCCAGAAAATGGTTTCTCACTCCCTCGTTATCCAATGGAATCGAAATCTGTTTGGATGGGAATGTTTGAACGGATGTATAGAACTACCACCACCGTCGGTTTGAGGGAAAACGGCGTATTCGTCGTAGAAGAAGATGAGTGTCAATATGTTGAGTACTCAGCCAAAGCTGACCTATTTCGTTCGTTTGCGGTCATTTGTGGACCGTTCGTCTTTGTTTTGGGCTCGAAATGATGATGCTGACAGGTGCTACACTCTACAGTACAAATTTGATCTAGAACGACCAGGCATTAGCGAAGTTCAACGAAGGGTTGTTCACTTGTGAGTCATTTCCGTGCTCCATGGCCGGATGACTTTGGGTCTTCGGTCGTCGTAACGAGACTCAACGATTAATTGGTATGGTGACTGAGATATTGTGTTTTTGTTTCATCAGAAACGCCTCCGTCGTGGTCAAACGAGACCTGCTTCTTGAAGGTAAGTGTCCAATTAACCCTCTATTGGGACCTTCGGCTTCTTGCACTCATTTGTGCGCCGTTTCTCTTGCATTTAGGCTCAGAATACTCGTTTATCCATGCGGTATCACATGCAAAACAAAAACCATGGAGAAAGGCCCCGGCGTCGTCGCGAACGGCGAGCAGCAAGTACGGAGTCGAGCGTGGGAAACTAGGCTAAGTTCAAATCGCGCCGATTTCAAGCCGATTTGGACCCCTACCCATGGCACGCCTCCCAAAAAGGTCGGTGTTCTTTCATTCCTCATATCAAATGGTACTGACATGATGCTCTTCATTATATTTCGCCAGGACGCGAGCTATGCGTTCGTGTTTTGTGGTCGGAATCTGACTTCGTAGCTGGGGAGCCGCCGTTCCAGCCTCCCCGCCCCGCGTTCATGGCTTTGTGTGGTACATCTTGTTTTTGGTATCCTATCAGACTCAAATGCACTAATGCATCCTATCGCAGCCAAGAACTCCGCGAACGGCGCCGAAATGAGCTCACAACTTCAAAGGTTGTGGCGGAGGCCGATTTGGCGGGGAAATCACAAAATTCCCCCGCGATCGGTGAGTTTGCATGGTATTTTCTTTCTCTCTTTTGTATATGACTCTTCTCCATTGACAAAGTTTATAGAGTCTTTCACGACGGTGGTACGATCATTATTGCTTTCGGAATTGCGAATCTTGGTGGGCAGGGGGGGCTTGGTACCAACCTCTGAACACGTGGCAACGCGTTAGAGAAACATCCACATCGGGAAGGACAAACGAACCTGGACCGTCATGTCATCTGCAAAGTCTGCTCGAGCAGCGCTGGAGCCTTTGCTAGTTTCTCGTTTATCCTATGGTTATCTTCACTATTCTGCTCTACATACTTCGTTGCATGACGAAACAAACCTTTCCAAGGTCCACAGTATTTCGACCCGCCCTGTTCTCTGAATGCCCGGCGTTTGTCGATTCAACATTGTGCAACTTGTCACTCCTGCTTATCTTGCATTTTATTGTGGCTATGTAGACGGCGCTGAACGCTTTTCGCGTCCCTGAATGCTCTTGCTCTACCGGAGGATAGCAGCGGTGTTTACGGTCTCCTCATGCTCTCTAAAGGCACGACTTTTTTCAGCCACCCCCTCGCCGTCCCCCTTCTCTCCCCCGTCAGACAAAAATGGCCACCATACCGACACGGTCCTCACTCCCTCGCGAGATATGGCTTATGGTACTCATACTCTGGACAGAACCGCTCTGCGCCACCGTCATCGACCCCTTTGTCAATGCCTTCATCCGCGAGTCCAGAATCACGGGAGGTGACGAGACAAAAACGGGCTACTACAACGGGATCATCGTACGTCCCTTTCTTTTGTTCTACTCGTTCTCTCCTCTGAACTAAGTCATATTCAGGAATCGGTGTTCTACATCGGCGAATCCCTCTCCGTCGTCCTCTGCGCCCGTCTATCCGACCGCTACGGCCGTCGTCCCATCCTCCTCGTCGGCCTCTTCGGCCTCTCAATCTCCATACTCCCCTTCGGCTCTACTCCGCACTTCTACGTTATCGTCATCAGCCGATTCTTTCAGGGATGCTTCAACGGCTCATTAGGGATCGCGAAGACCGTGTTGAATGAGGTTACCGACGAGGGGAATCGGGAGAGTGCGTTCAGGGCAATTCCGCTCATCTGGACCTTTGGTGCTGTCGTAGGGTGCGTATATTGTCTTGGGTTTTATGCTGCTCGTGCTGAAAAATAGTTGGTACAGACCTTTTATTGGGGGTATGCCTTCAAGACCGGCACAACGATTCGCTCGGTCATTCGCGAAATCGGACTTTTTCATCCGGAATCCCTATTTTCTGCCATGTGCCGTTGCGAGCTTCATCACCTTCGTCGTCTTCATTGTAAACGTCATAGGACTACGAGAGGTACGCAATCCTCCCCAATTCTTGTTCCATCTCGCCCGTGTCAGTGTAGACCTCGCCTCTCAAATCATCCGACGACGATACCCTCACGAAGCCCGTCGATATCGAAGTACCATCTCAGGTTGATCATCAAGACGAACGCAGTACTCTCCTCTTCCCGTCCTCAAGAGGCGTTCGGGATTGAAATCCAGCACGCCGGATCATGCCTGGATGTGGTACGTCATCTCTCCCTTTTCAGGAAGTTCTGGCACGTGCCAGAGTGATCCGAATATCGAGTTATTCTACGCCACATTGCTTTTGCAAAGTTTGGAGGGACAGACCTGTCGGTTATCATGCTAAAAGCATTGAAGCACGAATACAGACTTATTCCTGACCTTGTTTTTTACTTTACATCAGAGGGGTGGTCCACGACAAAGGCTGGGTGGTCGCCACAGCGTACCACAAACTTCCAGATATGGGGTGATTACGTACCACATCCGTGCACGAAGTTGTTGGCGTGTCGGATGATCCCGACCGCCTCTTGCCCGTCCTGATCCAATTCGTCCATCTATTACGACGCCACATCCACGCTCTCCTCGTCGTATACTCATTTGACTCGCGCCACCGCCACACCACCTCTTCCCGAAATTCACGAACGATACGATCAAGAACATCCCCTCCACCAAATCTTCAAAAACCGAAGACTCATCGTCCAGCTCTCGTCATACACACTCCTCGCTTTTCTCGACCAATCACATCAAGTGCTCTTCCCTCTATTCGCTTCTACGCCTTCCACGACCACTCTCGCGAAGACCACCTCATCCTCCCCCGCCTCCGCGCTGAATGCAATCTCATCGTTCTCAAATAATCAAACCTCATCTTTTACCAACCCGAACGGCGGCCTAAACCTCCAACCCTCAACGATCGGCCTAACCCTCGCCTCCTTCGAACTCCTCAACGTCCTCTCCATCTGGTTCCTCTTTCCCTACCTCATGGATCGTTCTTCGGCGGGAGTAGGGCCGAGAACGGCGCATTTCTGGGGTATGCGGATCATGGTGGGTGTTTGGGCGTGTTATGCGGTGTTGGGGGAGAGAGGGAGATTGGGTTTGATAAGTGGTGGTGGTCGGAGTAGGGATGGTGAGGAAGGTGCGGATGGGCTGGGGTGGGGGATGTGGGGGATTTTGGTGGTGCAGTATTTGTGTGGGAGCGCGGGATTGACGTCTTATGGTGCGTGCTTTTACTTTCTTTATTTATTTTTGTTTTATTCCTGTCGGAAATCAGCTTGTGCAGCTCGACGTTGCGAGGCCTTTCGCGAGGTTTCCACGGTCAGGCTGAGTCAGCCACTCCACTGGCTGTGCCACAGTCAGGACAATTGTAGAATATTCTAGATACATTTGTACAGTACTATAAATACAAGTGAATACAGTACTCGTAGGGGCATCGAGTTGCCCTAACACGAGCCAGTCTCACCACTCAGCGTGATTGCAACTCTCCTCCCTTTTCGTGCCGCTCACTCACTTCCTCACGAAAATCCAACAATTCCGATATGAGCCCAGAGCATCGCAAATATGACTCAATGTACATCTAAGACACCCCCTACGTCTTTCCCGGGATGGTCGTGTCCGACGTATCGAAATTTCTGTAACGGGATTCACTACGTTCATTGTTGAGTTGCGGGTCCGTCTCTTCCTATCCGCCCTTTGTTACGATGCTGACTTAGACATGTCGACTGCCATCGTTCAACATAATATTACTGCGCACTATCTGATTCCCTGCATCTGGATGACATGTGTTTTACAAATCGACTGCCACCTCAAATCCTTCACCATCGGCACAGATTCTAGAAGCGGCCAGCAGTTCTTCCACTGTCGAACGGTGCAGAAGATGGCTAGGCACTTTCTTTAGCTCATAAGAGAGGATTAGTTCTAGATTGAGCGATGGAACGAGGGAGGAGGTCTGGGTTTCAGTCGGTATGCGCAAGAAAGTTATGTAGCGCCGCCAGCGAGACTAGTGCTGAGCCCTCCGTGACCGTTACATGGAAAGCAAGCCAAATAGGAGATTGGATGCAAGTATAGTAATGATGCGCAGTGGCTGCAACTTGAATGTCAAAATCTGTGCAACTGGATACCTGTAGACGATGAGGAGCGCCGCTGCAGGCCGCGGCGGCTTAGGCAACTTCAAAGGTTGAATAATCATTCCTTACGACCTTCGCAACCAAGAACGGAGAAAACGAGGCAAGCAGCCTAATTAATGGATATTAAGCGAGCGGCGAAATGCAATAAGAAGACAAGGCATAGAGGAGGAATGAGACCGTTTGAGATAGTGTAGAGAGAAGAGATGCGGCACGGAGGGGTGAGTATGCAAGGTCAACCGGTACGAGAGGGGCTCATGTGAGGCGAAACTGTTGCGAAACTGGAGTTGATGGTAAGTTCATGTAACCGTTTACTGGATGCATCTGTCGTATACGTTTTGGGTGTAGCTTCTCCAGATCTCCCTCCTGAGCCTTGCGCTTTTCTGCACTCCGCGATCGAGTGATCTCGCTCTCTTCTTCTATCTCTAAGCCCCTCTTTAACGATAGCATCGCCTCCAATTCCCACAAAACCCAAGCCACATCCCGGACGGCATCCTGCCACAAACATTTCTGGGCCGTATCGCCCTCAGCTTCCTTAGGCGCTTTACCCCACCATGCAAGAGCCAAGACGACAAGAAGCACGCCTTTCGACCCCCATATGTCGAGCTCCTCCCATTCGAACTGGTTGTTCTCCTGAAAGCACGGACGACCGTCTCTAGTTGGGCGCCCCTGTGGCTGGACTGTACACCACCATTTCCACCAGGATTCTTCGAAATCAAGGAGTTTGAAGTGCGGGGTGATAGACGTTGTCTTGATCCATCTAGAAATCTCTGGATGTCGGTAGTTCTCTCCGCCCAAAGTCTTGGGTAGTGTTGTGCTAGGCCGGGCTCAAAAGCCCAAGCCCGGCCAAACCCAGCCCGAATATGGGAGGCCTGACCCGAGCCCAGCCCGCTTTCTATGTGGGCTTTGGGCTCGGGCCTGCATCTGCTGAGGCCTGAGCCTGACCCGAAAGCTCGGGCTTCATAGGTGGAAAACTAATGTATATAAATTGCTTATACGGCATTCCAGACAATGTCCTTGTTGACTAGTGGCTGGGCCTGAAACCAGGCTCGTGCGCTAGCCAAGAGGTTGCCGGTTCGAACCATGCAAGTGCCGACTGTGGCCGAACTTGCATCCCCATGCACGTCGACACTAAGGTGATTTTGATTGGCGGTCTGATCACTTTTCTTGCACATGCCAATCATAATCTTTACCAAGCTCGGCTCTCCTCTGGATATACACATTCAAGTCCGGAGCTCTTTGACTCCCAAAATACATTAACGGTATACTTATCTGAGTTTTGTGCAACGTACAACATGACCGTCAACCATGTGTTTCGCCTCAGTAGTCAGCTTTACACAACACTCAGGGTCTAGTTAAATGGTGACTGGATGTGGTGAACATGGATTAACTTACTGCTGTCTAAAGGCTTGTTATTCTATGCACGACTCGTCTATCTGATGTTCAACTGGGGACTGTGCACATACTTAGTGGCCTTTCTACGGAGCCGCTGCCGGGCGCCGACCGTCAATTGCACTACTATAGGAATTCGAAATGTTTAACTCGTGGGGCTAGTGCCGGTGCCCTGACAAAATTTCTTGCTTGACTTTGACCATCACACTTGTCGGCACACATCACAATGGCTGACGATAATCCTGCGCTCAACAAGGATGGATCCTACAAAGACGCCTCGGACATGCAATGGTATAACTCAGAAGGTGACGAGGCGCCCATGCCCAAAGGAGGAGTGCCGGCCCCGCCGCCCCCAAGCGGTGAGAACTTGTCTGATGATGAGGCCTCAGCACCTGGGAAAATTTCAGCGTCTCTCCCTCGCCGCCCTCGAGACCAACCAAACCCTGAACTCATTCTCGAAGGGTCTCGCAACCGAAAACGGGCACCCCGTGCTGTTGAAGCGGAGAGTGGAGATGCTGTAAACTCAAGGTATGTCCGCTGTCATGTATCACATCGGAGTTTGCAGGCGTTGACAGATGTATCAGTGCTTCGAAGGCAAACAAGAACACCAAGTCATCTCTGAAAGAGCATCTGAGCTCTGCAAAAAACGGGAAAAGGTGTGTCTGTGGATTTGACCTGGTCTTCTTTCGTTTGACTGATGTGCCATGGGACGTTTGTCTAGCTCATCCCAGGCAGTCGGAAATGCGGCGAGTGAGGATGCCGGGCCACAGAATGTGCTGGTCGACAAGCTGTACGCTTTCATAGACTCTGTCTATTTCTCTGTCCACTCACTTATGCTCAATCAGTCTCCCGGCAAACAAGACGACTACCAATCTGTCTGAAGCCAACTCTCTCAAGCGAAAGAACCGGAACGTTGATGTTGAAGAAGTGGACGATGATGAGGTGTGTTCCCTATGTCATCTATCTGTTTTCTGTTTATGGCTGAAGATCCACTACTTAGGACTATACTACCATACACGGATCAAGTGACGAGGGCGAAGAGGAAGTGTCTAATGCTGACTCTGAGTCAGATTCAGGAGCCGGCCCTTCATCATTGAATGCTCAACGCCCAAATCGGCATGAGCGCCGCCTTGCTCTCAAAGCCTTTCACCGGCAGGAAAAGGCAGCATCAAAGGCAGCAAAAGGTACGTGCTTTATGATCACAGACTTGCACGGGCAGTCGTTACACGAACATTTTGTGCCACTTGCATTAGCCCACATGTGGGCTTTGGGCCACAGTGGCACCGGCTGGTATCCGAGTTCCCGGACACCACATCTGTGCAGCTCACGCGTGAGCTGCACGGATGTGGACCCTGTTGAACAAACACCTCCGATTGTCAAGCGATTGACTGGCTCAGAAAGTCTTTGGTTTGTTTTATTTGCGTGCATATCACTCAATGTTCCTCCGCCTTACTACCTCCAGGGAAGTCCAAGGCAAAACCAACCACAGCTCCTCCCGATCCTGACCAGACCGACATCAACGGCCTGCTTGCTGACCTTGCCCACATATCGGCTGAACTCGGCGACACTGTAGAGAAGAAGAAGAATCCTAGTGCCGACGTTAAGCACTTTTTCAACAACTCACATACTCGTACAGACACTAAGGGTGTGGTACGAAAGTACCTCGACTGTGTTCTTTGCAAGTAAGTTCAGCCTCTCGTTCCATCATTTAGTGCACCTCTCATGTTCTATTCTTGCAGAGAAAAGCGCCTCGCAAATGTCGAGCGCGTGAGTGATCTCTCGACGTGTCGCCGTCACATGCAGAGCCAGCACCCGGTACGTGTTTTGTATCTTTCATATCCTCTCAGACTATTATGTGTTCTCATTAATTGCTATCTAGCATGCGTATCGCTCATGGTGCAAGAAGACCGGCTTTGAGTCCATGCTACCTGAGGATACCTCTGCACGAAAGAAAGCCGCTCACTCTTCTGCTGCAACTCTGGATCAAAGCACGCTCGACGCCTACACAAGGCCAATTGAGACACCTCCGCCCGCCTACAGCGACGATGTGTTCGGTGATGCAGCCATTGACTGGACTATCGCCACTGACCAGGTTTGTCTGTCTTTGGTCTCCTTATTTTCCTCTCACTTCTTAATCTGTCGGATGTAATATTGATGATCTATTTTTACCAGCCGCTGAGCGTGTTTGACCACCCAAAGTACCAGGAAATGATCGCGATCGCCGCCCGTACTAAGAACGGTGTCAAGATACCGAATCGCAAGTACACTCGGAAGAGGGTCATTGATCGCTTCAAAGCGCATCTTCGATGGTTGAAACAGCATCTAAATGTAAGTCCATCCTCTACTCTATCTACACTCTCGTGTCTGTCCTTCGCTAGTAGCTTATAACTGAAACATGACCTTTGACCGTATGTGAATAGAGCGACAAGGTGAAAGGCCGAGCATCGGAGACCTGTGATGCGTATCAGGCGTCAAACGTCGACGGTTACTTTGCAGTGACTGCACATTGGGTAGAAGAGGACGAGAATGGCATGTGGGTGCTGAAGGGCGCTCTCATTGGGTTTGTGCGAGTCAATAACGCACACCATGGTGTTCGTCTTGCACATGCTTTATTCAAGGTTAACTTGCGCATCGGAATTGTCCACAAGGTTCGTGGTTTTGCTTTGTCGTAGCCAACTCAGATATGCCACATACTGATACACTATCATGCTCAGGTTGGATGGATTACCTGCGATAACGCTTCAAATAATGGCACAATGATGAAGGAGTTCGCGCGTTTGGTCGAAAAAACTACAGGCAAGACATGGAACCCCGATCATCGTCGCATACGGTCAGTCACTCCCTTGCACGGTTCATTATCTTTGTTTTGATTGGATATATTGTTGCAGCTCTAGTTGCCTTGCACACGTTATCAACCTCGCCGTCCAAGCATTTCTCAAGAAGGAGAGTTCAGCAAAGTATTACAACCCTGCTGAACCCGATGCGCATGAGCCCACCACTGCTGCTTCCGAAGACAAAAGAGACGTCATCGGACTGGTCCGTGCTCTTTCGGCGAAGGTAAATCAATATCTACATCTGTATGCATTCTTGATGGCTGAATATTTATATGTTCACAGGAACGTTCATCAAGCAAAAGAAAGGAAATCTTCCGTACCGCGCAAGTGACACTATCGAAGGCTGCTCAGTCGACGCCTTCTGCCACAACGCCCGCCACAACGTCCGAGAAGGTCGCAGAAGATGAAGAATTTACGGAGATCTCGAACAAGATCTTGACCCTTCTCCTCGACATGCCTGTCCGTTGGTCGTCCACGTACATGATGCTCATACGAGCGTACAAGCTTCGCGACGTACGTTCAATCTGTTCATATATTTCAATGATAGTCTGCTGACGGATTTATATCTTAGGCTGTCGATAAGTTTCTTGAGGATATCATCTTTGAGGCGCGCAAGAACTCCAAAACCAAGGGACCGCTCGAGAAGCTGCGCATGACTGACGCAGATTGGCAAGAGGTAAAGATGGTGGCATCGCTTCTTCAAGTAAGTGTTCTCACCAAGTATATCATCCGTGCAATGGAGCTGATGTATCTATTCCAGTGCGCTGACGAAGCACAGCAAGCTTTCTCTGCAGAGAAATACCCGTCGCTTGCAAATGCTATCCCCGCCCTGGAAAGTCTTCACCGTAAATGGAGCGGCCGCCTTACGCTTCCGAAATATGCACAACACCAGGACGGCCTCGAGGCTGGGTGCGAAACCTTGAAGGATTATTATGATCTGACGTCTTGTAGCGCGGCACCTTTGGTCAGCATGGGTATGCCTATCTTCTCCCCTTATCGTACTGGGTTGCCACTGATATCCTATAGTCATTGATCCTTCGCAGAAGTTTCAATATTTCAAGAAGCACTGGGACGATGACCTTCAGAAGGAAGCCTTCTCACTCGTCCAGACTGTTGTGAGTTGCACTCACTTTCTTTCATGTACCATATTCATGTCCGCTCATCATCTCCGAAGTTCAAGGACTACTATGTCGAAGTACACGGTAGCCTTGACCACGCGCCTATCCGCAAGGCTCCCCACCATGGCAAGAAAGTTCGAAGACTCCTCGCAGACTCTGATGACGACGAGAATCAACCTACCGGTTCCGCGGGTGCTTCAACGCAATCTGCATCCATTCCTGCATGGGAGCGGTCATGGAACCAATACATCAATGTTGACGACGAGATTCCCGAAGGAATGAGCCTGGTCAGCTGGTGGGGTGTACGTCTTATAATTCCCTCTCTCGCAGATAGATCCACAATTCTTATTTTTGTCCGGGGTGGCTTAGCTCAACGCTACCCGTTTGGGTCCTGTATGGGCCGCTATTGCACGCGACCACCTTGCGATCATGGCTTCCTCGGTGTCGAGTGAACGTGCATTCTCGAGTGCGGGGCTCACCATAACCAAGCTGCGCAATCGACTTCAGGGCGATATTGTCGAGGCTCTTCAGGTTTTGAAGTGTACCTTGCGGTCAGAGCTCATTATACGAGAGCCACCACCCTCATCTGTTCTCCAGGAGCAGATCTTGAGTGCGGACATAGAGGCGGCGACAGAGGCAACGGGGGAGAGGGATAACGGCGATGGTTCCATTGATCTAGTAATTAATTTAGATAGTGACTGCGAGGAGGATGGTACTGCATCAGCAAGACTGCATCTGCCTAAACCTAACTTTTCAGTCTATTCTGGTCTAGGCACTCTTCTCGCTCTATACCCGTAGGGCGCTCTCGATGCTTCAAAGTTTGATAGACCGATATAGCGCGAATAGATGGTTGTCCGAGTCTTGAATGACATGTGAAGAAATCAAAATTCCGCGGCCTGTCAAAGGCTGTCAAGGCAAGACTCGGACACCTGCCCTCAACAGCTCCCTGCGCTCCTTCGTTGTTGATTTCTCTCACGCATCAGGCTCTCTTGAAGTTTCCCCTCGGCGCTTCAATCCTTGTTTTCATCTTCTTCCTGCACCCCTCTTCCTCGAATCCCTTTTTTTCGTGCACTGGTACCAGGATCATCGACAGGGCACTCGCACACGACTGGAACTCGACACCAATGGACGGGACCCAGCGGAAACCTCACGGGTCGGGGTTGCAGAAAATCCCGTAGCAGAACATACCAGGCGAGTCGTGCCCAAGTCGTGCCCTCCTTTGCGACAACTGATCCGACTGACATGGCTATATTTATTTTAGCTTATACCCTGCTCTTACCCGCCCTGTGACCCGCCAACTTTCAACGGTCATTGAGGGGCCGTTACGGCGTTAAGTCGCACAAGGTGAGAGGCTTCCCCGCATCAGTCCTATCCTATTTACTTCTTACACTGACGTCTTCGTTTGCGTTTCAGATAGACAGGTTGCTTGCTCGGCACTTGTCTCCTACTTTTTCGTGAGTCCCTTCTCTGCTTTTGGGGATGCTTATTTATGTGACTAATTTCTGTGCGCTGTTAGATTTAGATTTCATAGGCCGACATCTTGTAGATCCCGAGACAAAGCCACTTCGCTACACATGGAGTCCATTCGAGAGGTTTGCGTTGGTTTGCATTGGTTCATGTCACCCATACATTAGCGTAAAGTCAGTTTGTTCGAGTAGTTACCATGTATATTTGCAATGCAATGAAATTTCCCACCCAAACTGAGCAGTCCGAGTGAAACATATCGGGCTCCATGGCATGATCCACGACATGATAAACCTCGCGGACTATCGTGCTCTACCGCCATCTATCCTGCGTCTACAGTCGCGGACAGGCAAACTCGACAAATTTATGTAAATGTTGGGCAACTTCCGATGAATGGCGGAAACAATAGATCTCGGTGAGGGGAAGCTCAGGATTATTTCTTGGGGAAATCCCATGTGTAGTTCGTCCAAAAAAGGGGGGTTTGGGGTGCTATACCCCCAAAACTTATTTGGCCGTACCCCTGATTCTGCTTCAAAAATCGTGGGAAATGTGCCAATCAACTCCTTTTGAGGAGAGGGTTATGATCCCGAAGTTTGAAAGAAATTTCACGAGCGGTTCGGCCAAAATTCATTGCCGAAGTACGGCATCCCTACCAACGCTGGGACGACCGGATCACAGTGATTCTTCCATTTGACGAACCAGAAACTATCTAGGGAGGTTTTCTTCGTTCGCTTCCTCAATCGGACAGAGTTCGGGTGCCAACTGCCTCATGATGACCCCAAAAGGGGTACACAACGTTGTTCAAAACCTCCAAAAATTTGACGGGACCCTAAAATTGTTTCAAAAACCGTGGAAAAATCGCCAATCGACTCCTTTTCTCAAACGGTGTCTGATCCCAAAGTTTGGAGGAATTCTCACGAGCGGTTATGGAAATAATATTTTTTGTTGACTTTGCTTGTCCGCGACTGTACCAGAATCCAACCATGTCTAGCTAAAGGCAGGTCTATGATGAATAGATGCTGTCAAAGGATCTATTCATGTCTCCCGGGAGACCGAATAGACCGAAATAGCTAGGTTTAGCCAGATGCGGCCTTGCTGATGTGGTACAGTTTGAGCTCAAGCTCAGTGCAGAACTATACGACATGTTTTCATGAACTCATCTCTCTGCTATAAACCCGGGCTTTAGCCTAAGCCCGGCCTGGCCCAGCCCAAGCCTTAATCGAGGGCTTGGGCCTCCATCCTACGAAGCCCAAGCCTACCTGTACCCGGCCCAAGCCCAGGGCTTTGAGCCCGGCCCGAGCCCGCCCAACACTAGTCTTGGGGCATTGCTTCATAAGGGACAAATCAGCTCCGAGATCAATACGACGAAGGACAAAAAATCACCTCAAAACCGTGAGATTTCTCGAAGTTATACAGATGGCTGATCAATACCCCGAAGAGTGGACCGAGCTTCTGGCCTTGAAAGTATCCAAAGATGGATATGTAAAAGTCTCGCCTCTTGAGATTCTTGCACTCCGAAAATGAGAAGCGTGTTGGAGAATGTTGGAGGCAGTAGTGGTCTATGGGAACGACGGTAGCCAGAGGTTTGGGTGTGGAATGGGCTGCGGTATGGTTATCAACTTTGCCTATGAGTATAAGGGTGCCCGTGGGTTGGTACACGTCCTCTTGAGAACCAGAATCAAATGACACTGCTGCAAACATGTTAGGATCGTAGAAGCCCTCCTGGGTGTACTCTTTCGCCTTTATACCTGTATATGTATCCAACCGATACTGTACATGATCGGACTCAGATGAACTCGGAGGATTGATGACTGTCTTGATCGAGGGACGGACAAGGGATGTCGATGCAGGGGCTGAGGTTGCCGATGGTGACACTGACGACTCGGATGAAGTAGGGGCCAACGTGCGACGCCTTCGTCCGTCCTGTTCTTTGTTGTCTATCAATTTACTCGAGGCTCCACCCCATGGCAAAATCTCGTCCTCCTCCGCTGTTACGAAATTGTGGGTGAATTCATGGAACATCATTGCCCACTGTCGAACTTACTAGTGCACTGACTGGAAGTCTTCCGGGAATCCTTCACTCTTCGCTTCTCCCTGCCCATCTTGGGTTGCTTTCGAGGGAGCATGCCAATAGTCATATCGATGGGGGTGGAACTTTCCGGTGGCTGCTGGAACGTGGAATGGAGATATCAGTCACGAAAGTACTGTTTAAATATCAGGGAGCACACCTGTGATGGATTCGAGACCTTGAGAGGTTAGGCATCAAAAACAAAGTAAGCGGTAATTATTCAATATATATGCGTACTTCTGTCAAGGTCACACAATGGAATGCTTTTAGTGTCTTCACCCTTTTGATAATGTTGTCGTCATTCGGGACTACATGGAAGAAGAGGCTAAGATTAGGCAAAAGAGATTTGCAGAAGAATAAGCTAAGACTGCTGACCATGATCCATAATTAAGACCTCCCAGCGGGCCACATTTTGGGCAATCGGGGTAAATGTCTCTGAAATTGCAATGTCATGTGTGGTAACTAGAACATGAAACTTGAGACCGGTTGTGCTAGGAATAGGCTTTGTGTGCTGTATTTCATATGTTTTGATTAATTCTAGACCCTGTTGGCTGCCGACAAAGGGAATGACACGAAGGTTAGGTGCCCATTGAGCAAATGTCTCCAGCCAATGCACAATGGCGGAGTCCAGTGCTATGATAAGAACAGGGCTAGAACCCCACGTCTTGACTATATGCCCTATGAAAGTGGAGATAGTCTTTTGCTGTGGCATACATCAGCCGCAGATGAATCATTAGAAAGTGGTACCATACGTACAGGCACCCGATTATGAGGAAAAATCTATCTGGCATTGTTAACCTCTTTAACAATACGGAAGCAGTAGATATCCTTACACATGGTTGAAGGTCAAACCACTTATCACATAGGGAGTTCAATTGGTCCATCTAAACATAGTAATAGTGAGCTAGGCTTTATCTCTATAAGACAATCGGGGCTTACCTCAGGTTCTGTGAGCTTCAAATCCGGGCTTTGACCCAGGTCTGGTTGCATGCCATCCCGAAAGACATATTTTTGCATGAACCCACCCTTTGGTCGAGCATCGTAGATGGCGGCATGTGTTATCGACATTTTGCTGACGTGCACAGACTGAGACTCCACAAATTTTGTGAATGCACAGACATAGCTAGGGTAACTCGGTTCTCCAGAGTGGGGAGGCACAACCCATGTCGCTTCCCAAAATTATGAGTGTATGCAAGAAATATCTATGTATCTGTGGGACTAACCTGATTCGTAATTTAAGCCATCCCACTTGATGAGAGCAGAGACAACATTGTTCATGTCATCAACAGTCAACAGCCTGTCCTCACGCTCCCTCCACTCGTCAAGCATCTTGGCATCCATAGCTGGAACATCTCCTTCCACCTCATCCGAGTATGGCCCAGGCATGTGGACAGATAACACGGTAGTAGGTAGTCTGTAGCGGTGTGTGTCTGATGACGCACTGGGAATTTCCAAACAGGCTTCTTCCTCATCGCTCTCTTCATCGTTTGCCACTTCTGTTGGAGCAACCTTCGGAACACTCGTCCTCTTACTTGACATCAAATTCCGCTCGTCCTCACGCTCATGTCCGGAAAGCCCAGGTGATACAGGATTGATGGCTGAGGGTGCAAGAATCGAAGACAAGGATGTTAGTGACAAGAATGAAAGCACAATGGGGTGGAACATACAAGTAGGTACTGGAGAGGGTGTTCTTGGCCATAGATCCGGTGGTATTGAGCGTTCGCGTAGGGGTGCTCCACCATATAGATCGTCCGAGTTCGAGTCGTCGCTGGTACGGTCATCTAAACGTGATAACCTGAGAGCATGAGCTACCAAAACGAAGAAATGCTCATGAACAAGAGGCTTGGCGATCAACTGGTGGAAAGGTCGGATACACTTTGGATCTGGTTCTCCCTGGCTGTGACTGATGCTGAGGCCACTCCTTTCATTTCCATACGAAGCTTCTGAGGCAGTCTCTTCGTCACTGTCGTGTACTGTCATCGGCCGTCAATGTTTGTTCAATCCTGATCACAGCAATAACTCACCGGCCATTGTGACTAGATAACCTTCAATCCGCTCAACTTGACGAAAGAATATGCTCCAGTTCTACAAAGAAACACAGAAGGCTTAAACCAGTGGCAGGAGTTGGGCAGGAGGGAAGTGACGAATGGGATGTACGAGCTACTTACCCTATTCGGATTAGGGAACCAGCCGATTACAAGGTGGGAGTTAAATCAAGCTAGGAGGCGGGTTCGAGAATTGGGGAAGAAGGGATTCTCCAGAAAAAATGGTGAAGGAAGGAGGGTCTAATCGATGGCGTTGTGAGCGTGCATGATTGGCATGGATCTGTCGGATGGCGTTGACGGTGAATCAAGTCCCTTTCGACTCTGGGATGCACGGCGAGGAACGAACTGTCCGCGAGCGTTTCGATTTGGGTATGGAAGAAGGTTGCTCTGTCAGGATCAGAGCGCGATACGGTCCGGAAGGACTTGGGGAACCTGCTGCCTCGTGTGGCGCTGCAACACCCTCAACCAATCACCCTGAAGCGATGAACCCACCAACGACAACTCCCCCACGGCTCCATCTCCTCTTCTCCTTCGTGCTCTCCATGATGGCGAACCACAGCACCGACGACTTCTCCACGCGCGACCAATACATCCATGTTTTACAGTCGTTTGAGTGGTAGATAGGGAATTAGTCGACTTGGGCTAATGGCACGGATCCGGGGACGTTGAACTTTACGACGGTGCACCTTCTTCTTCCCTTTCTCTCTCACATCGCATTTTCCCACTTGGCGCTTGATATTGAATTGAAATGGGGTTGGTTTGTATGAAAGGATAGCTAGTGAAACCAGTTGAATACGATCTCGTCGAAACCCTCTCAAATCGTGGCCGGACAAGTTCTCTACCTACTCCTAGCGTCTTACTGTCCCACCATCGCAGGCCTCATCCGTGGCACCTCCACGCCCCTCAATATCAGTCCCTCGCATTTACGTCGAAGTGAGTATCCAGCTGCCGAGTCCCAATAAGGAGACGAGAGGATACGTGAGTCTTCCCGCTTACCTCCTCAGAGATATTCTCATTAACGAAAGACATCTTGCGGTATCTCTCACGACGTCCCCCGGGCATCGACTGGCCTCTCGGCTTCCATACCGTAACCTGCAAATACGTCGTATGCATCGACCGGGTGCTCCAGTTCGATGGTAATGTTATTCGGCATGTGAACGAGAAGTAGGTGAAGATGGTATGAGCGCACCAGAGTGTGTACCCGGAATGGAATGTGGGACGTGTCTACCGTCGAGGTGGATTGTAATTTAGGACGGTACTCACGTTGTGTACCAGTTTGCATTCTATCGCTCATCCCACATTGGATTTCGGGGTCCTTCCCATTACAGCCGGTTGCCTGCGCCCGATGCGGTTGTTCTGGATTACAGTCGTTTGCATATGAAACCCGAGGCGGTGTTTTTCTGTGCGCGCGGAAAGTTGTTTGTCTTATCCAAACAGTCACGGTGAGTCACAGTGTGGCACCATGAGCCACATAGTCAAAGAATGTGGACCAAAGCCTCGACACTGACATTTGCGTCAGTCTAAGGGTAGATAAAGAAGTGCAGAAAATGTTTCATCATAAAATGGGAGCTGTACATTTTACACTATGGGACACAGAACAGTTGTGCAAATGGATGATGATGGACGAGGGCCTCCTCGCAATGTCAAGTTGAGCGCCTTCAATCATTGAGACATGAGCTGAGAACCTACCCACTAGGAGGAGTGGGAGAAAGAGGCACTGATGTGGTGCGAGTCCAAGTCTGTGTCGGAGGAACGTTCATCGGTACTCAAGATGGAAAGCAAGGTCGGCTTGACTTGTTCAAGTCTAACCTGAACTCATTGACAGTTCCGTCGTCGCTGAGAATGTGCAGGATGTTTGCAATTACCATGTATATAGTAGATTCCGAAGATGCTGAGGTGTAAAAGGAAGGTCCAGCACGTCCGAAGCAAGTAGGACGACAGATGCGTACACGGTGTATACGGTGTGTACGGGCATTGTTCGAAGACTTCGGAAATGTCCGTGGTGACAAGTGTTCGTCACGTATTTGGCTAAGACAAACAACTTTCCGCGCGCGCGGAAAAACGCCACCTCGGGTTTCATATGCAAACGACTGTAATACCACCCATTTTGGAATTTGCGAGGTTGGATCTATGTATACTTCCTTCTTGGGACTGCATTGATTGTATATTGCTCTGAGCTGGGATTATTGGGTGCTAGTCGTCTGAAACATTGTGTGGACTGCCCAGATAGCACCTCCATCTGACTTTGATCTGACTCCTGGAAGTATTTGGCGAGATTAGATTGTCCTCTTCGAGGCGATCAATCACATTAGATATGGTTTCACGTGTGGCACTTCGTGCCACACCTGCAAATTTCCTCCTCCAGGCTCCAGCGATGCACAATCATATCAAAGTATCTATCTGGTGATTAAACATGGGCTGTACATTACACAAGTTAGGTACAAAATATAGTATGTAATAGTAAGATTTGTGTGGGCCACAATTATAATCGTTTGCTCTTCGTCTGCTTCACTTCATCGTGAGCCCTTGCCTTCTCCGTTTGTGTACTACATGTGTATATTAGTGAATGATGTTCAATAGATGCACAAATGGTAAAGACGTACGCGGTCTTTAAACGTGTTGACGTCCGAACACCCTGCGAAATGGGCTGCTCCGGACTCGGTGGTGGCGCCACAGAGACCTTCAATTGTGTCTTACCCATATCCGGTGTGATCGAACATTCATCAGGCTCAGGGACCTCTCTGGTCGAATGCCCACCCTCCCCTTCCTCAACAAGTTGACGTTCCTTCCACATCACTAGCTCCTCCAATGCATATGCCACATCGCGTACGACAGCATCCCACATCAGGCTCAGCGTCGGGTCGTGGTTCAAATCGCCTACCAGGGCAGCACCCCACCATGACGGCGCCACCATCACCAGTACTAGTCCCGCTGATCCTGGTCTGTCCAGGACAGCCCACGTCCATCCGTCCTGGAACTCTGACCGAAGTGCCCCCGGAGCGTTGGAGATCACCCGCTTTGGCTGGAGCCCGCACCACCACGTCCAGAAGCCGTTCGTGAATGTAGCAAGATCACTTATCGGGTAGTCGTTATCGCAAACACGATGGTCTCGGATCCAACGTGTGATTTCATCTGGTCTATGCTGGGCACCAAAACTACCCCTTGCACTTTCGATCTAGGAATAAGCAGCGTTAGAATCATTGTGCAGTATAGTGCAGGCAATTAGAGAGACTGTATATTTGCCGCACAATTGTGGCGTGAGGTCGTGCTGGAACATGTACAGGTCTGCGTCTTGAGCGATTGTGATAACTCTCCTACGCCTCGCCATCTGCCCGCTGCCCACTGCATGTCACCTCCTCACTTGAAGCCTCGGGATTCTTTGCTAGACTTACTTCTGCTCGGCTCTATCGCTTGCTTGGCGTTACTCTGGATGTGCATCACCCATGAACACTGCACGAAGGGCTAAAGCTGGGCGTGGAAAGCGAGCGTTTCACGCCGCTGAGTCTGACGACCCGTTCGCAGCACAACCCTCTCAGGTCGAGGACGTTACAACTTCTGGGGATGTTCGTCGGCGGCGTGTCGACGCTTCTGTTACTACACTTCCTCTGCGACCGCCACCACACATTGAACTTGCATTCGGAAACTTCTCGTATGGCGACATCGATCCTACTATCCCGCCTCCTCCAGACCTCGAGATGAATACACCAAGTCATGCTGAGGACATACCGCCTCCTGCAATCCCCAATGTGAAGATCAAAACAAAAAGTGATCGGTATGATAACTCGGTATGTGCCCCGTTTGACTTGAACACCCTCTGCCATGCTCAACAGCAATTTTATCTCGGTTAACCTCGGTTCAGGATATCCCCCTCCGAACATGGATAAATTACCGCCCAGCATACCTCGACGAGCTCCTAAGACTCGAAGGACGTGGAACATACATCACGCAAACACGCTGCTGTACATGTAACGCTCCCGGTGTGGAACTCCATCGGTGCAAGGACTGTCTATCATTTGGCGAGATGTTATGCGCGGCGTGTATGGTCAATAGTCATAAAGCACATCCGTTTCACCGCATTGAGGTTTGTACGCCCTTGGGAACGTCCTGGCATTCTCGTACTGAAGCATCTGTAGGCCTGGAAGTCCACGTACTTCTCGCCTATCATGCTTGCCAACCTCGGCCTTCGCATTTAGCTTGGTCATACTACAGCAACCAAATGCCCGTTCAGTTCCCCGGGCCACGCTCAATTCATTGCTTTGCATGTCAACGGCCTTCATCGCATTGCGATAGACTTCTGTGGATGCCCTTCATCACCCCCACGACACGTTCAACTCCTACGTGCATCGCTCTACCCCGCCACACCTCACTGAAACCCGCTGCCACGCCAATCTAATCAGTGAATGTTTAGACATACAGATAAGATAACTAATGTACGGACGGGACCAAATGACGAGGATAACCAGATTGGGAAAACTCTTCGCAAACCTCACGATCGTGCAATATTCTGAATCAGTTGCATCGCAAAAATGGCACAAACACCGTATAAGGTAAGTCCTACATTACAATGCAGGGAAATGACGAAGAAACAATGTAGACCGACCGTAAAGGGAAGGGGCCTGCATTACAATGTAGGAACTCGCGGGGTGTTGCCTGCCAGGCCAGCGGACGGGCTTCCTGTCCTAAATTACAATTCGCATGGACGGGCTCCTCGTCCTACATCCCATTGCGGGTACAAGGACGCCTGCATGAGCGGAGATCGGGAAGGTGGGGTTCCGTCGTGCACAGTGTGTTCTCGCCTTCGGATCTCTTGCAGATGCAAGAAGAAAGGGCGGACGAATGAGTGCTGTGATATCTCCCCAGGGCGGATGTTGTACTCTCGAAACAAGGTCTGTCCGGCCTCTCCTGTACCCGCTCTTTGTGCTCACGCCTCTTGAATGGTGTAGTCGTGAACTTTGGCTTCATCACATGCTAATGGAAGTTCAGACCATGCACGACCACAACCATACCGAACAAGCCCAACGCGCCCTCACCCAATACCCATCGCAGACCCAATCCCAACCCACACCCCAAGCTGTCCTCAGCCCGTCCCAAAGCAAACCGGCTGCAAAAGTATCCACATACACGTCCTCCCTCCTCCAAATCCCGAGTGACCCCAACATCCACGCCATAGACTTCTACGCTTCCATTACCCCACCCCCTCTTCCTGCCGCTCACTCCCACCCACTCCCACCCCGCGCCCCTCGGGCCATTCCTCTACAAGATCGAAATTGCACCTCCATCTCCTCCACTGCCACTCCTCTACCACTTCCTCATTCTCAGATTCCGACGACTCCTTTACCTTGTGTCGGCGGTTGAACAGGAGAGATTCTAGGTCCAAATGGACAACGGGGACGACAATGAGGACGATAATGACGATGATACACCCACGTCCGCAAGAGCACCCAGGAAACAGAAATGTGCGACCGAACTCCGTTTCTGCTCCCAGACCGCCGGACACTTCGTCTTTCCGCATGCTATCTCGGAGCCCGTCTTTCTTGGTTTCACCATTTTGCTCACGTTCTTTGTCTGCTAAACTGTGGGGAGTTCCTCACCGGTAGGAATTGACGAGCTATACCGCAGCCTAACAGCCGAGGGTTTGATATTTAAAGCGTGCGCAGGCATACATTAATGAGACGATTTATCGTCTCGAGCTCAGACGTGTCCTTTTATGGACGCAATGTGAATCACCAAGTTCGGCAGATGACCAGATGCTTTTTCTCCACTGCGAACTGATGCAGACTTGGCATGGAGCACCCTGTTGAGTTCGGAAGCTACGTTCACTGCGAAGAGGCGATTCACGGCTTGCCGGTCTACGTGATTATTTCTGTATGGGGTCTCCTTTTCCGTCATTCATAGCGCACAGAAGGACATGTGGGCAGGAAATATTTCCGCTCGGAGATACGAAACAACAGGGTTCATATCACCTGAAAAATTCTGTGAAGTGCACAAGCATAGGTTTTGAGTGTTTTTGAGAGCACTTGCTTTGCGGTGAGACGATGCTCTATTTTAGTTTAATATCAACGTGCTACCACAGCATTGAACCGCCGTCATTCTGTCTTTCTCTCTCTCAGTCGTCATCTCCGTAGTCCTCTCAACTGGCAGATATCTCTGCGGCTTCGCTACCATCATACTCTCTAATCCTTCCATCTTCGCCCAATGTCGTACAGACTGCATCATCTTTACCACTTGTGCAAGATTCGTCGAGCGGGAACGGGGTTGGGACTGGGAACGGGAATGTAGGGGGAGGAGAAGGAGAAGAAGAGCAGGACGATATCCCACCGCCGGCGTATACGCTCGTGGCAGATGAGAGCGCTGGAGAGAGCACGGTCCCGGTAGACGTTGATGATGGAGGAGAGTCTAATGGTAGTCAAGTCCCCGTTGAGTCCAATCTACCCAGTTCTCCGACAATTTATCATCAACCTTCATCGCCTCAGTCGTCCCAACCTTCGACATCCTCCCATGATATCCCCGTTCTCGAAATTCACACCAACGCACTCACGTTACAGTCCGTCGGTGCCTTCCGCGCCACAATCACCTACTTCGACCCTGTGTCCTATACATGCTCGTTCTTCGTCATCGACGGAGGGACGACCTCTATCCCAGTTTGCCCTGGACTTCTATGCCTCTGCAGGTATTAACTCGGCTACGGATGGTTTTCAACCAGTTTCCGAGAGCTCCACGAATGCTGCGACGAGTATAACGAGTCCGGGTTCGACATCGAATGTGAACGCTGCCACTTCGAGCGCCCAACGACCACCCGTTCCTCCTCGTCCACCGTCATCCTACAGCACCTACAACCACGCACCTCCCGTTGTCAGAATTCTGGGCATGGCGCGTCGGTCGTTCCTCCCCTCCAGCTCGATCCAATTAGCCAACCACCAGGTACTGCAGGACGCGTATCCATGCCTGTAGCCATGCCCTCACCTCCCTCGAACGCATCCTACTCCCCGCATCCACAACAATCCCCCCATATTCAACCTCCACCTCTGGCCAATTCGTTCTCTACGTCCTCGCAATTGAACCCTTCACAGACCCTTCATACACTTCCATACTCTCCGTCGCTAGCTGTACCTCCTCTATCAATGATACACCAATTTGGGCCACACATAGGCCTACAGCCTTCCTCATCGCCTTCATTTGGGCCCCATTCCTCGCCACCGCCTCCACCTCAGCCACAACCACCTCCATCGCCGCATCCGCCATCACCATATCTTCCATCCCAAGTGCCACTTCCGCCACCTCAATCGGGCTACGCCCCTCAACATCCGCCTCCTCCAGGTCCTCCACCTCCACCTCGACCTAAAGCACCGCCGTTCATGCATGCTACCTCAATATCCATCGCCCTATCCGCCCGTGCCCAATCAACCCTATGCTCCATACACCAGCGATAACGATTATTCGTTTCCCATACCTTCCACGGGCCCAACGGACCCGTTCGCTTCCACGTATCCAAATTCTCCACCGCCTCAATCATCCCCCCGTCCTCTTCTGGCTCAGGTCGTAGGCCTCCAGTTTCCGACTTCGCAAGGGCGTTCTATTCCGCTGGTGCGGATTTTGTGGATTCGAGGCGAAACCGAGGTGGTCCCTCACCGAATCCTCAGCCACAGCCAAATCCACAGCCGAACCCACAGCCCGCGTCGATTCAAGATCGACTAGGAGTAGTGTCGAATCTGTACTCTCGTATGTGTTCTCTCTCCGTCGGAGTCAATTCTGACTCTTCGAGGACATCGACGTACGCGCCTTCACCGGGCGATCCGCCACAATCCAACGGGAGCGATTATTTGATGCCCAGGCCGAGTTTGAACGAAGGGCATGGGCGGAGGAGGAGGAAGAGGTGAGGAGAGAAAGGATGGACGGGGATGAGGTCCCAGAAGAATGTTGAGTGTGCAGGGCACGGATATCGGAGTTGGAGGCCTGGGGGATCTGTTAGGTTATGATGACATCCTGTAGCGTTCACGCGGAATAGAACCCGACTTACGTGAACCGAGGGAAGTTGTTCGGACGAATCATGTCCATCGGAGTCGGGGTGGTGACGTTTGTATGGTGGCATTGATTGGGAGGACTGTCAAGGCAAACAGAGCGTGGCGTTTCAGTATGATGTCGTGAAGAAAGACTGGAGGTCAAAGGCGAAGGACGACGTACACGCGAATTAGCACAACCTAGAGCAGTAGTGACCGTCGAGCCTTCATTGACAGGCTCGTCGTCGGAGCCAATCGTCTCTGTATGTCCATCTCCATCCTCGCCCCCGTCCTCGTCTTCATATTCTCCGAAATTGTGTTTCCTTCCGGCTTTAACCGCCTGGCACACAAGGTTTGAGCTGTCGAATAGGATTACTCAACGCTCAGTGATGCACAGATACGCACCTCAAGCTCTCGTTCTGGCGCTGCGGGATCGTTCGCTGAGATTGAAGTATTGGCGAGGACGATGCCAGATGACTGCTGCTGCTCGTGGTCCGAATCCGAGGCGTTCATGATGGACGATGGACGACTCGACATGGTAATAAGTAGGGCAGTGGGGCTGGACCGTAAATTCAAGTCAAGTCAATTGGAGACTAAGAAAACGCCCCGTATGTCAGAAGTCAGAACGTGAACACTCACCGTCTCGCAGGCCTATCAGTATAAGATGACGGGAGCCAGTAGTCGGTCGTCAGAAAAGAGAGAGGAGACGCCTATCCTTTCACCCCACACTCCACAGGCGTTGCAGTCTTATAAGGACCCAAGACGGGCAGGACAGCCCTTGTTCTCACGTAGGCGTATACGTATACGTGGGTTGTTTGGGTGGGTGGCGGTGAAGGTTGTGGAAGGCTTTGGAAGGAGAGTGTGAGTATGTGACTTTCAAACGTCCGTTCGAGGCGCTGAATTTGAGCGCTGGAAACCACGGGCACAGGCACGAGTACGAGTACGATTGCTTGAATCTTGAGGCTTATACATAGCAGATTCCTGAGAGGATTCAGAGGGGGTATAGTTGGCGATTTAAACAGTGCAGTGCGCGGGCGACAAAACGGCCAGAATCTTTCGGGAATCGGGATATCAGGAATGCAGTCACGGTTATATATTTTGGTTCATCATGATCATTGATCATAGAGGATCCGTCTCCGTGTCCGTGACTCAAGGTTCGGTGAAAGACATCCAAGTCTGGCGAGTGTGCAGGCCACGGACCGCACACGATGCTTTGGTGGCCGAACCGACAGTGCCTCATTCACACACAGAACTGATGAGGCGTGAGGTACTTATATACGTCTGATTATGTCGGGAAATGAAGGGGATGGAGAGGTCAATTTGATATACCTCCCGCCGCCAGTGACGAGCGAGACTCGTGTGCAGATAGTAACTTCCGTGCATCCAAATCCATCACGCGTCGTGACTTCATGACGTGTCATTGAACGACGAAAAGACGAGAGGTGAGACATGATCTGAATCCTCGTATCAGTCTATTTGAGACTTTGGTAGAGATCTAAACCTGGAGAGACTGTAACAGTCTAAAACACCGTTATATCAAAACGGAGAACATTGTGACCTGAAGGAATCAACGCACCTTGGTCTACCATGCGATGAAGTCATGTAAAAGAGTCGAGAGGAAGACTGAAGACTCCATGACAGTCGTGCTCGAGACAAAAGAACTAGGTCAAACACGAAGTAACGACTCGGAGCTCGATGCGGAGTTGTCGATAGGTGCTGGTGGACTACATATAAGATAAGAGATGCCGCTTTTGGTGAGTATAGAGGATCCGTGAATTGAGGTTCAGTGGAAGACATCCAAGTACCCGTATGCGGAAGTGGTGTATGGCGAGTGCGATAACTCATTGCTGACCTTTCGCCATTGTCAGTACGGTGTGACGACGCACATACTTACACCTGAGGAGCCGTGTTTCAGCGGGCTGGAGTGAGTACTGGTACACAGTACTACGAGTACACCGATACGCACACTGACTCTGTGTGACATACATCTGTCCAGAGAGCCTGAGGCAGACACCGTCTCAATTTCAACACGAAGGACATTGTGGACCGAAGGAGCTCACGCAGCACGTCCGACTGAGTATATCTCTCATGAAGCTTTGAAGTCCCGTAGAATCGGAGAGGAGCCTCATCGAGCCAAGACTAGGTCGAGCACTTCTAGTGAGCTCGGATGAGATGCGATGCTGTTACTCGACACGGTATACAAAAGCAACCGCGCATGTCGACGCGCGTAACAAGGTATATTGAAGGTCCGGGACAGGTCGTAGGATGAGGCTCAGATCATTGACGGATGCGGCAGAGTGATGCGATAGACACCTGAAGGAAGTCGGAGAGGGAAGGCGAAGGTTGGTCGGAGTAGTAGCAGGAGAGGAGGCGGCAGCGGGTCCATGTTCGTAAGCACCGGAGACGATCTCACGAGGTCAGGCAATGATCTCGCTAGAGATAAGTATCTGTGGATGGACTGAATCCTCGTATCTTGGTTAGTCTGTTGAGGGAGTAAGCCTCAGGCTGGAGACAAAGACACCATGTCTGTCAGAATAAAGCACCGTATTGTAGAACGAAGGAATTCACGTACCACGTACCTACGATTCGTTCCATCTCTCCATAGAGCTTAAAGGCCGGTAGAATCGAAATTCAACCCCTTCAACGTCGTTCTCAAGCCAGACGTTAGACTCAGAGTTAGACCGTGCACCAGGTCCGGGTTATGAACTCGATGCCGTAGTCTCGTCGTCGGACAGATGCCAGAGGACTTTTAATCAAGACAAGAACCAACGCGCATCTCGACGCCTGTGAGGGTAACGAGGTAAGTCATATCAAACGTATGGGACAGGTTGCAGCAGCAGTAGTGTCGTTCAAACAGCCGTGCTTGTAAGGAACATTATAATGGAGCACGTCAAGGACGTTGGCCTCCATTGTAATGTTCCGCGTGAAGCACGCCTGTGGGCTGTCATTGTAATGGAGCTTCCCACGCTTCACGCGCGTTCACTGGGGCAGGGAATTCAATTCAAACCCCGACAGCTGACAAAATCCCTCAGAACAATATTCGCCCCAGCAGCGCGAATGTTTTGTTTGCTATTATTTGTTCTTCACTCTTAGTGTACCGGCAATATTGCCGGCTGCTCACACCCACTTCCTAAATAGGTCCACCTTCCCATGCCTTCTATTTGGCACGCCCTCCCTTCATTAGCCGCCACTTTGTCCATAGCCTTATATCCTCCTTCTTCCAGGTTCTTGTAAATATCTAGATAATAGTAATTAAGTATTAGTGAAAGTTAGAACCCCTCCAAATCATCTCAGTGCCGTCCTCTACTGTTCTTACTTTCTGGGCCACAGGTGCCACCTGGAATCTATCTGTAAATAAATGCCCTCCTCCTCTCATGGCCCTGGACTCACTTTAATACTGTAAATTAGGCTCTTGATAATAATACATATCCTGATGTATAATGCAGAGACTGTGATTCTTGAATACAATCAATTATGTGGTGCACTCCTGATTTGGGCCACACATTCACCTTACGCTACCTATATATATATATATGGGCCACATTTCTGTATCATCTTTTTGTGCCTGATGACTTTAAAGGATACTTACAAGACTTTCACATCAAAGTTGTGTGACCAAACGTGTAGGAAACATGTGCTGTGTTTTCATGCCAATTTGGGCCACATTGTGCCACCCAACGCCACTTGTGACGACTTGTAAAATTTCGCGTCGCCGAACCCTCCTCCTCAAGTTTTTCGGACCTTTTCACTCTGGTGCACCATTTTTTTGCAAGACAAAGATGAATATATTTCTCATAAATACTACAGTACATCATGCAATATATGTATATACCTACAGAGAAGAGGGTACAAGTGCGTAATATAAATCAATCGTCATCGTCCGAGTCCTCCAAAGCCTCCAGCTCACGCAAGTTCAGCGTGATCGTCTCCGCTGGCAATGCAGGTGCCTCTGGCGCCTTCTCCAACTCCCCATCCGGAGCCTCAGCAAATTGAAAACCAGAGTCAATGAACTCTCTGGCCTTGGCACGAATCACATCCCACCGTCTCTCTAAATCCGCTGCAAATCTCTCTTCTAGATCGGCATGCTCAAACGCATAGGCAGCCAGTCCATCTGCCAGCTCCGGAGAAGCATCGCGACGGAGAGCAGACCGCGATCTCCACCATTCTGCCTTGAACTTGCAATACTCGATCGTGCGTCGCATCTCCTCTTGCACGAGCTGGACCTCCTCCGTCCATCGCTCTGCACGGGCCTTTGCTTTCGCCCATTCCACTCTCAAAGCTGCAATAAATTTCAGTACACGGGACTACCTAGCTATAAGGAGGCCCTGCTCACCGTCATTAAGCCCAGGATCCGTACCGTCTTCGCCCATCGATACTGTTGTCCATATCCAGGACAACGTTCTCGACCCCTGCGAATGTCCCTTGAGCGTTCTGATGGTCTGCAGAGTTCTGAGACCCGCGTCTGCCTGCTGTTGGGCGAACTCCACGGACACCTTCTCTGCCTCCTTCAACACCGCATCGCCCAATCCCCTCACATCCTCATCTTTCAACTCCTGCAGTCTAGATGAAAGCCCCTGCACCCTCCATTGCTCAACACCCACAAGACCCATCAACGCCGCCCTCGCACGGCGGTACCGGTGCTTTAAGAGAAAGATCCGGACGTCGACACCTGATAGAAGAGCCCGAGCACGGGTACCCTGTCGCTGGCCGGTTATATTTGCAGTCTTGAAGCGCCCCATGAATGTCTTTGTACGAAGTTGATTCCGAAGACCCTCTAATGCATCGAAAGCCTCTGCCTCGCGAAGTCGACGTTCGGAATCGAGGAGGGTGCCGGAGCAGAGTACGGAGCGGAGGGCAGGAGGCAAGCTGGACGGGAGATGGAGGGGGATGGTTTCCGAGGATGCGCGTTTCCCCTTGAAGTCCTCCTCGGAGAGCTCGAGCCTAATACGGAGGCCGGGCATGTGGGTTTCCTGCATATCCCGTAACTTCTGAATCCGTCGGAAGAGGGAGTTGCGCCTGTCCTCAAGCTCTGCACGCTGTAAATGAGTCGCCCTGGTGTAACCCTTCAGGTCAACCTGCAGCTGTGCCCTTTAAAACCATATAAGCAAGGTAATTCCCCAGCCATCGATTGAAAAAGTAGGAGGAACAATTAAAGAGGAAGGACATACTGTGCCACCTCGATTTCCATGCCGAGCACGATAAGGGCGGCCTCGCCAGAGTCGTCACGCCCGCGAACAGCAGATACCCCTCGCTCATGCTCTTCCTGAGCAAGCCGAAGGCGTACTTCACCAATAGTGAGCTCTACAAAGAGCTAATAAGTTACTACAGAATGAGCATTCAGGCAAACAGGCCACATACCGTTTCGGGGTGCCACAAATGGGCAGTTCTTCGATTTGTCCTGAGAAACCAGCCAGGCCTCGTACATCTGCACCCAGCCTTCGAGTGTCTCAGGTGACGCCTTCCGGATGTTCTCCTCGAATCCTTCGAGGGCACGACGGTGTGTGATGCAAGAAGGTATCGCACCCACCATCTTCTTCAAGAGACTTGCGCCTGAGAGGGTATGAGAAATCGGATCGGTGGTATAGAAGAAAGTAGAAGTACTTACCGAGCCTAGTAGTTTTCGTCCAGTTGGCATATCCACAGAAGTCGTCCAGTGTATCTCGACGGTGCCCAGGGCGCATCTCCTTCAGGCTAGCTGCCGCCCCCTTGAGGATGGCCCAGATTCTTTTGATGGCTTCGAACTCTGTCTGCGCAAGCCCACGAAGGTATCGAGGAGAAAACAGGGGCTTGCACTTGTCAATGTGGGCCTCGAGGTGGAAGGCGGGGACGACGAAGTAGATGTTGATGAGGGTTGGGGAAAGCTGAAGGTAATCGGGCATGGATGCAACCCGCGAAAAGAAGTGCACGCTCCACTGGCACCCAATGTCGTAGGAGGCGATGAGCGTGAGGATCGCGATGCCAATGATGCTGGCAAGAAATATGTAATCCATGTTAGCGTAGCTGGGTTTCACGCGTGGGTTAGAACAAGTTTGCAAGAGAATCCAATCGAAAATGGACGTACCGTTCACCCTTTTGGAGATCGCCAATGCCATTAGGCCTTACGACCTCGTGCCGGCCGCAGCAAACCCCTCCGACGCCCGTGCTGGCTAGGTTGCTTGCCCCCTTGTTGTTGGCGCTGGTCATTGCGTGGAAGGAAACACAGTTGCTGATCTATGAACACGGTTAGCAGCGAAGGTTGAGGACTAAAGAAAGGTTGGCCTACCTCGCCGCCTCCGTCACCAGCGGATGCGAGGTATTCCTTATAGGCTCTTTCCTCCACAAAGTACGCCAGGCCGTTAGTTAGCGAGACGTCGCTAACTTCGGTCTTCCTCAGCCTTCCTTTCAGCCGGAAATTTGCATCGTGGGCGAGCATGAGTCGGTAAAGCCAACTATGAATCAAAAGGAAATTAGTTGACCCATGGTATGGCAAGGTCGAAGGGAAGGGGAAAAAAAACTGACGCGTCCTCTGTGGGTATCGAAGTAAGATCGGCAGGTACATTCTCTCCCGGTATGGGACAGGCTCGACAGGGAATCGCCAACTCGCCTAGTCGAGTCCCATCGACGCCTGACGTGGCATGGCCGCGAGCAGCACGCTTCAGCAGGAGTAGATTCCGCCACTCCTGCACCATGAGCGCAAATGATGGCCGGCGGTCCTGTTGTTCAAGTCAGCATGAGCGCTGCTATGTGCACCCGATCTGTACATACCGGCAAAGGTTCGATCCCGTACCCATCCGTGAGCCGGACGAGCCCTTGATAAAAATCGAATACGGAGATCTTGCCTTGGAGGTTCAGGACCTGGAATTGGCGCATGACCTCGATGGTGGCGCAGGTCTGCGGGTCAATGGGTGTGGCGGGGTAGAATCCAAAGCGTATGAGCTGCCGCCAACGCTCGGGACATTGAGGGCATCCACAGAAATCGACTGAAACTTGATGGATGCCGTTGGTATGGATGACGATAAAATTCTTCGTTCCAGGCTGGAGCAGCGAGCAGGAACAACCGACGTCGTGACCGAGGGAGATTCTAAGGCCCAAGGCGGATAGCCGTGTTTTTTGGAAAAAAGCCCCCGTCCATTCCTACATATATATGTCAGCGTTGTTGAGAGTTAGAAGAGAAAACACGCACCTCAACAATATGAAGAGGGGCGACCGCATGAGCCGCTACTGTGCACCCAGCACAATACATCCCCGTTCCACTGCAATCCCTGCATCGGTACAGCTTGCTCTCGGAACCACACTTCTGACATGTCTTCCGCCCACACCCAAATGATCGGCCCTCCCGACGCAAAAGCTCGTCGAGGTATTCCTGCCGATATTTGAGCCAGGTTAAAAGAGGGGCGTCCTGGATGCAAATAAACAGAGTACGCAATTAGTAGAAGAATATAAAGATAGTTAAATGATGGCGCACCGAGTTCAAGTAACGCCTATTACGGTTGGAGGTCTTCAAAGTAAGACCCGGGATCTCCGGCTCCTCCTGGATGCCCTGCAAAAGGGTATCGGAGATATCGAAGTCCGAGTCGAAGGAGGGCGACGAATCCTGCAAGATGGGGAAGTTCGGATCGTCCTCGTTGTACGGAAAGTCAAACAAGGGGGTATCGAGGGGTCGGGGTGCGGTAGGGACGATGTCGACTTTCGTACGGATCCTCCGGTTGCGTGTATTGATATTGAGGAGCTCGACGTCGGTAGTCGACTGCCTTGCCAGAAGCTGTTCCTCCGGGTCGAGAAGCTCCGAGGTCCTCTTCTGCGCGCTGGAACCAGCTTTGGCTTTACCTCTTGTCTTTGCAGACATAGTCGAGGCTTGACGACAGCGGTGTGGGTGTGGAAAAGTGCATGGGTGTGGACCTGCAGATCTGCGAGATAGCTCGGTGGCACCCGAGATTTGCCTTTCTGTACCATATATGGCAAGAAATGGCAAATGCCTTCGTCGGTTCACGATAAACAAAGCACACGTGACATGCAAGGAGGAGCGTCCGAACCAAGCGTGATTTTTTATAAGGTAGAGATACAAGGGAGATGTACAAGAACAAAACAGTCTACATAAGACCCACAGCCAGAAAACCCGCACAAAACGAAGACATGTAGGCTACTCGCCACCCTCCTCCGACACCTCATCCTTACGAACCCCACAACAGCCGCGATGATCGTCTGTGAGCTCCTCGAGCACCGAATACATCCCTAACGCCTCCGTCCAACGCTCACCCTTCTTCCCGTACGCCTCCTTTCGGGTCGAATCCGTCAGGCTCCATTCGGGGACGAAACCGTGATGGATCCACCGCATCAGGCCTCCTGCGCAATATTGGGTGAACGAGTAGCGATGTTCGTGCTCGCGTACGGGGGTATTGCCGTGACGAATTGTACTGGAGGGAATGAGGATGAGGGAGCCGGGGGGGAATTCGATGACGAGGTTGAATTCTTCGAGAACAAGATGGCCGCCGGACCTGGGGTCGTAGTCTCCCAACGCCCATACAGCGCACCAGCCCTGGGGAATGTTCTGGGAGTCGCAGTGACCACGAGAGCAGCAGCGGGGTCCGATGTTGAAGGTACAGGCGGGCCAGACGCAGTTCGGGAAGGGCGGCTTGCAGGCGGGGTCGTGTTTGTACAAGGCTTCGAGCTCGGTGGCGTAATATCTATGCATCTTGGGGGCGTACGTATGGAAAGCAGCTGTTGAGGCGAAAGGTGTGAGCAGATGTGTAGAAGCAAATAAATAGTTGCGCGCTCACAATTAGAAAAACCGGCCATGCGACGGAAGGGTTTACTCCGTAGGAGCCTCCCTACATACGGGACCTGACACGCCTTGTCCGCCTTAAGAATGGCGGGATGCTAAAAGCGACGTGCTGCTGGTGTTGGCGATCGGGAAGGGCAAAAAAAACTGTTTCGTGATAGACTTACCTCTTGGCCGCCTCCGTACGAAAGGCCCGCCGTCATCGCCACGAAGTCCCCCCTGCGAGCATCGCCCTGCTTCTCCGTCCACGCATCGCACGCATCGCCCTCCAGACGAGTCTCCTCGAGAAGGGCGGACGCAGGGTCGATGACGTCTTGCATCCAACTGGAATCGTTGGGTCTTCCAACGAGTATGACGAGCATACGCCTCTTCTTGTCGATTAGAGTATGGGGCGTGCTAGCGGGTTTTTTGAACGGTGAGCTGAGCAGTCGTGAAAGATGGTAAAATATGGAGTTGTGTAGGAAGGCGAGAGGGGGATATCGCAGGGAGAGGAGAGAAAAGACAAGAAGACGACATACACTCCATCCCATTTTAAAACCGTACGGCCCTTCCTCATCTCACCCTCCAAGGTGTAGTCGTCCGTTCCCCACCTTCTATCCACGGGGCGATTGATGCCAACGTAAGCACCATCCGCGGCGGAGGCGTTTTCCATCTCGTAGTCGACCGGGACCTCGATAGGGATGCCCCATGTCCGCAAGGCGTTCTTCGGGAGACGATAGCCCGCTGGCGTTGGCCCATCGTATTCACCGTCGCTCAGCCTCCTCGCCATCTCCTCCGCTCTCTTCTCTTTCTTCCTCGCCTTCTGGGCATCACTCTTCTTGCGGGGAGGGAGGTTTCCCGCTGCCTTGCGCTTCGCCTTCTTCGCCTTGTTTCTCTCCCTCTCGCGGGCGAGCTTCTCTGCAGACCACCCATCGCGACGCCTGCGCTTCCGTGAGCCTTCGATCGGGACGGAGTCGCATTCGGAGAGCTCAGAGCCGTCAAAATATGAGGCTCTTGAACTCGAATCCGGTGGGCATTCGGATGTCGTGAAAGCCGGCTGGTCAGGGTGGGGAGATGGATCATCGTGGTGCGGGATGGGTTCGTCAATGGCGGCTGACGTCGGACTGGGTGGTGATGAGGAGGATAGGTTGTCGCTGAATATGTAGGAGGGAGCAGGGGAGGGCGCAGTCGTGGCGGGAGGATCAGTCGTGGCATCGGAAGCGCGAGGTCCATCACACGTGGCGGTGGCAGCGGCCCGCTGGCGGCGCTCCAACTCCTCTGCCACCCAGATTGCTTCAGACACGTCCCAAGCCCGGGCGAAATGGGCCTCGTAATCGATATCGCACTCGATGACGCTTGCGGGAGGAAGAAGGACGGGAGGTGAGAGCAGTTGGTCCTCAGACATGACGTGTTTGCCTAGGCTTGAACGGTCGCAAGCAAGCAGGAAAGAAATAAAGAAAACAAAAGACACGGGCGTGAGCACAACAGCGAAATGACCAAAATAAAATAAAAGAGCGTATGCGGGAGGCAACCAAACACGTATGACGCGTGTGGGTGCGTGAGGACGCGTGAAGACGCGTGAGGACGCGTGAGGACGCGCTGTAGGTGAGCCTGAAGACCCTTCACCGACGAAAAAAACCACCGTCGACGCCCAGCGACCAGCACGCGCGCGAACTAAAACCCCTGTGGAGGCCTACTGTTCTGCGGGCATGGAAAGGAAAGCGGACGGTGGATTTTGACGACGATAATGAGCCCATAGCGCTACACTGCAAGCCAAAGCCCTGGGCCGCACAAATGACAAGACAATGAGCAAAAAACGACGCTCACCTTCGCTGGACCTGAAGAGGTGTTGAGGAGGGAAGAACGAGGTAGAAGGGACGATGAGGCAGATGGAAACGAAAAATATTGGGGCGGTGACGGCTTTAAATATACCAGGGTAACAAACACCCACAACTTGGCCGTACCGCATCGGGGTCATAGGCTTGATCGCCGTTCGGTCGGTCGCTGAATGGCTCATACATCTCTCTTCGTCCATAGCGTCCGTATACCTTGATAAAAAAAATATAGAGAGAGTACTTACAGGATTGGGACATACATGACATGCTTTTGCACTACAATACATAGTATTTTGGTGTCTGGATCTGTTTCTTATGTGCGATCTTCAAGTCCGAAGCCATCGGGAGTGCCGCGTCAAGCCCAAAACCACAAAGTCACCACAGGACTCACTCCTGCCAGACGATGTTTTCCACAGACAAAAAAAATACGGAAAAAATTGTATTCAGTTAGAGTCGCCCTAATTTACATGTGACAAAAATTTTGTCGTAGGTTGTAGTCTGCGTTGTTTTGCTATTCACGATTTTCGATTTGAAGATCGTTCAGACCAGAACTCGCGAGTCGCGTCAAACCAAAAGTGTCTGGCTTCCACTGCCCCTATCTGCACTCACTTCGTCTACTTGGGATGTACTCCCAAGCAACAACTACTTAAATAATCAGGGCATCTTTTATGGTTACCAAATACATGTATCACACAAAATTAGAAGTCATCTCCAGTCTGAATAGGTTTACTCTCACTACTTTCGAGTCTGAAGCTTTCGAGAGCAAGCCGCGGGTACATCAAACCAAAACCGCTAGCACTGCACTCATTCTCCGTCCCCACAGCACGTAACCTCAAGCAAGAATTATGAAAACAGCTGAATCTCCTTGAATGTATCTCATGTGTATACTCGAATAGAATTCGGAGGGGCCTGTTGTCGCAATCCATTGATCGTACTGAGCCGAGTATCGGCCTCACCTCGCGTTGAAGCCTTTTCGTTCTGCATCTCTTGTGCAGTCGCTCTCCTTCTACTATTGCTGTAAATGAAAAGGCAAGCTGGAGCTCAACAACTCCGTGAATGCCACGATACCGGGACCCCCATACGGGTACAAGATCTATCTACAAGGGACTTGTCCATCGAAGAGAAGCACGACGGTGCACACTCACTTCGATTCTGTTACTTTTGTTCAACATCCCGGTGGATGTTTGTTCTTTGCGCTCAGGGCATGTCCTTGGAGGAGGAGCAGTTTACATACTGCATATGGTGCACACGATAAGGGGGAAAGCGATGTATTGAGAGCAGAGCGACACGACAACGGATAAAACACGACGAGGTAAACATAGCAAATGAGGCGGAGGGGAGGATGCATTGAACGACGTAGCAGGGATCTGAAAGCGACGACAGCAGGAGCAAGTGAAACAAAACAAAAACAACTCAAAGTCTCCGCTGCTCGAGCTGGGGTAGATCGAAATCGACGGGAATCCTATATAAAGCGGCATATGTGAGTATGGACGGTATTGGTGGGCGATGTGGTCCTGCTCGAAGAGATAGGACTTACGGAGTGAATGGAGACTTTACCGCACCTGTCTAGCGACCATTTGGAGCAAAGGAATTTGTATCCCACCCAAATTCTTCTTTGAATGCTTCCATGTTCACGCTACGGAAGACCGTATGAGCCTTTGGACAGCTATAGGGATATACGTACGCACCGTTTGCCCTGGAGAATAAGAGCCTCATCTTGATAGGCAGCGAGAAGGGATGGAAGACCTTCGGTGAGTAGATCGAGGATTTGCGTGTACGCCGCGATGGCGTGAGCACGCGCTTCGAGGTTCGGAGGGCGGAAGGGGTCGTCTTCAGCAGGAAAAGAGTACTTGCGCTTGATGAACCCAACCGCATCGAGATGCTCCTCAATACGAAGCTTCAACTCGCCCAAGACAAGGTCCCAGGAGAACGGGTCGCCTTCGTATTCGATGGCGTCAGCCAGGAATTGCGCTGCAGTTCGCTTGCGGGCAGCATCATCTTTGAGACAGATGTCGTTCGCCAGATTCCACCAGCCCGGGTAGTCGGATGGATATTCGGAGTCCAAAGCCAGTCGGTTGATGTAGGTGCTGGTAACGCTGTTAGAGATTCTCTAGAGGGGCTGCTTGAAAAGACTTACGTGGTCTTTGTACCCTCAAGTTCCAGCTTGCGGTTCTCCAAAACTACCGCCCGTTCTTCCGCTGAGACCTCAAGACTACTACGGTGACGATGAATTTTGTCGTAGTTCCGGTAGGTCGAAATTGGGGGATATTGGATGCTTCCTGGCGGCGTAAATCCTGTCGTAGATGATGGAACGGTCAGTCCGAGATACCAAAACTCGAAGATAGGGAGAAAGAAAGAGAAAAAAAAAATGGGTAGAAACAAACAAAAGCGCACTGTGGCTGACCCATCTCCCGTAGGAGGCATCAAGGACAGATGGATTTCGGCCGTCTGGCCACCCGAGCGATTGATACTCCGCCTTTTTCTTCTTATTAACGACGATGTTCTTGCTGTCGTCGTCCTCTTGTTTGACTTGAATTGGGAATGGGTCAGAACGTTCCGGGCCTGGGGGAGAGAGCTCCTCAATGTCCGACGGCCAAAGCTCGTCGACTTCGGACTCGTCGATTTCAGTCATCCCAAGCACGGCGAAAGGCTAAGGCTGCGGAGTGAAGCACAGAGAAAGCAGAGTGAGCGGGCGAGCGAGACCTTGTCGTGGCAGAGGGGAACCAGGGGAAACCGCGTTCCCCGCCGACAGCGATCGTAGGGCAAGGGCGAGACCTTGACGGGAACCAGGAGAAGGGCCGCATTCCTCACCAACTGCAATCGCAGTGCACTACATAGTCGTAGTGCACTGCGATCATGAGCACGTGGATTCCTTGAGATGCACCCTTCCCTTGCGTGTCTTCCGTAGAACCTCTACGATTTGCTTCAAACTCCGAGTTCGGGGTTGCGCCTGCTCGAGTCAGCCACACAGTTCACGGGGAGGATGAAAGACAATTGATTAGTACAGGCAATGGTACAGGAAGATACAGACATGGAATGAACAGAAAATGGATGCCATAGAGATGCCCGATCTGAGGGATCGAAGTTGGGCCCGTCTCGAACTGTTCAGGAGGGTATGTCACGGCATGGATGATCATTGCCCATATTGAAGGCGGTGTATTACCCAGGCTCACGTACTCATCTCCGTCATACTGAATCACATGGCTTCGCAAGCGGGATTGTGAGCCGTCGAGGAGAATATATTCATTGACCAAGCACCGTGAAAGCGAACGAAGGGAACACACAAAGACAACCGAGAGCAAAGAGACAGCGATGGAAAAACAAGACAAGACAACCAAAAGCAAAGATATAGCAACAAAAAACAAACCAAGACAGGGTAAGGCGAGACGGAACAAAACGGAACAAAACATAAAAAGGAACGGGGCGCGTTCTAGCCCAAAGAAGAGGAATGTTCGTAAAAAAAAGCGTGATAGAAAAACACCGCGTTACGCAGTCTTCACGCGAACGTGGCCCTGTCGCAAAGCAAGGTCAAACGCGGCCTGCGCGGCCTCACGGGTTGGGTAGGAGACGACGTTAGCGGCCTTGATGAACAGCACTTGTGCGGCCGCCTCCGCCCTGGGCACTTAAGGATGAGGCCGAGGAGCTGGTATACTGCAAACGAAGGGCTCACCAATCACTGAACAGACCGACACGTCTGCCTTGAGTGACAACATACGTTGTGTCTGCACTTTCGGGAGGCGGAGGAAGCCCTGACGGCGTCGGATGGGGTACTGGAAGAGGACGGCGACCGTGATAGGCTATTTTCTCCACAAGGCCCTTGTTCACGGCGTTCGCATAGTGGATGTGGGCATTAATCAAGGTTTTGTGGGACTTGTACGTCATCCCTGAGGCTCCAAAAGCCGCGTCTTGAAGATCCTTCCTATGGGTTGGGTGGTGTGAGTAAGTACATCTGACGACTACGGCGGGACGTACCAGGAGGTATACACGCCAGGCTGCCACGCCTTTATGGCACTGTAGGCCTTATACTTAGCCTTTGAAGGTTTAGGGCGTTGACAAACGCGGATGCCCTTGACCGACGTGCCCGGAACTCCTTGGGTTAAAGCACCTGCCTCGGCCCTTGGATCATTTTTGTGAGTTGAACATTCGGCTAGAACGCAAGAGTCTCACCAGTGGTCCACAATTCGACTACCCTCCTTAGTTTGAATGGCGTAAATTTTCCCGGCGGTGTTCAGGTGTGGAGCTTCGAGGTTCCGGTGAGAAGGAGGTAGTGGAGAAACGGTCGAGGGGGGAGGAGAGTTTGGCTGAAGTGGAGAGGCAGGTGCCAGCACCTGTTTCCCCTTCGTATTCGGGTGACACGGCGTAGCCGAGGGACGGATTGCAGAGAGGGACGGGGGAGAAGTAACGACGGGGGGGACCGGTGGAGGGGGAGAGATGGAGGGAGATGGAGGAGGAGGGGATGGAGGGGGCGGAGACGGAGAAGAGGGGGACGGAGGAGATGGTGATGCGTTCTGCACGACTTCTATCCAAGCCAGAATCGCAGAAGTCGTGATCAGTTAAAAAGAAAGGTAGCGATTAGTGAATGGTACGCACCATAGACATTTGGGGCAGTCTCGACGGTCAACGTCTGGAACATCCTCCGTACGAATTCCTCTTTGTCCGACCCATCGTAATTGGTGCTCTCATACGCCGTGCCATACTCGGAACCGGAGTAGGAGACGGCCTCGCTATCGGACTCTCCGCTGGAGAGCTCGATGATATCTTCGGAGAGTCTACGGGCTTTGAGCGGACGAGAACGCGAGCGGGTCATAGCGGAAGTAGGAGGCGGGAGGCGGTGAGCGGGAGCGATGTGGCAGGAGAAGGTGATGGCGGCGATCATATATCAGCGCCCGAACACGACTACGCTCGCAGCCGAAGCGGAGTTCAAAATACACCAAAGCACGGCAATGTGGCTCATTGCAACGCGTCGCGTTCCTTCTTTCGCTTGTGTGGCGATGGATCGGGACCTTGTAGGTCCCCGTTTTTCTTTGTTTCTACCAATGGCGCGCCCGTTACGACCGCACGCACACAGCCCCGAATATACATAGACTCAGCGTAATCGGGCTTACATCCCCCAACAGGAAACCCCGCTCGTTTTCTCGCTCTTTCTTTTTTTTGACTTTGCACTCAACTTAGGCTCCTCCCTCGCCACCTCTCGTCAAAACTCTCTGGCTATCCCGAGAATGCCATTAAACGAGGAGTCTAATCTCGTTCCTCAGACGGCTCCACTTGTTTCGTCCACTTTGCCTGCTCCTCACGACCCGTTGTCTGTGTCGGCACAGACTTTCACGCCGCCAGCTCTCTCTGTCGATCCCGATGTTGTCACGCCTACCGGTCCCTCCTCTCCTTCTGCAACATCTGATCCGTCGACCTCGTCTTTCCCTGTTTCGGTCTGCCCTTCCGACGCGTCTACATCCACCCCTTCGAACCTCCCCTCTGACGCGTCTACCATAACCTCTGCCAATCTCCCCTCCGACGCATCTACCACATCCGCTCCGTCGACCGCTCATCTAGGCACTCAAAAGGGACCGAAAGGAGCGCGTAACGTGCAGTTCAAAACCTCTGGTGCCAAGCGTGGTCGCAAGAGTACGTGGCCTCCCAAGAAGCTGGCTTGGCTCGAAAGCCATGTCACCCAATGCATCGCTTCTGCTGACCGGATGGCATTCTACGACCGTATTCTCTTTCTATGGTGGAGGATTTTTGGGCGAAGCCTTCCATTGAAGGAGGATCCCGAGGGAGACATCGACGAGGCTGCCGCCATCGCGATGGATGTTTCGGAGGAGGCTCTCACCGAGGAGGAGAAGCGGCGGCGGAAGCTCGCAGATAGGGAGCTTCGTGAGGTATGCATTTTCCTTTTTATTGCTGTCGATTGGCTCCGTTTTCCTTTGTTGTTATTCCTTTGTAGGCCCGTAGTTCTGAATAACCTTTTTCGTTATTGTAGATCCTTGCAAACTGGTTCCGTAATCGCATGGGCAAGATCGACAAGTCCAACGATGGCTCAACGTTCGCCGACTTTATCGACATCCCGCTCACCGGTGAGGCTCGTACTCTCCCTCGCCGGCTCGGTGTCCTCAAGTACTACATGTCAAACTACTGGGAAGCCCGCATCAAGAATGTCTTCATAGAAATACGGGATCGTAACAACGCACTTTGGGAGGCAATGGTGGCTTCCGGTGAGTCAGCGGGGCAAAAGAAACCGGAGTCGGCAAGTGCGCAAAATGAGGCGGTCGCGAGGGTGTGGGCGTCCGAAACGGACGAGTTCAAAGCCAAGGTCAAGAAGGAACGGGATGAGGAAAGGAAGTTGGCAGAGGATGAGCTCCAAAGGTTGATGGCACCGAACGACGGTCCGCATGAGCGCACTCCGGAAGAATATCAGGCGTAAGTTATCCTCCTTCTACAGTGTTCGGTTCACTACTTATCAATACTTCTACCCAGAGCCATCGACAATGCCGCCAAGATCCTCCAGCCCGTCGTGTCCGCCATCTTCGACAAGATGGGCCTTGTCTCCACCCTCGTTATCGCCGGTCCAATGCCCAACAAAAATGGAGAGATCAAGGTTCGCGCGTGAGTACTTGTTTCACCGGAGATCTGACCTTCGTGTTGCTGATTGTCTTTTAGCCTCACGCACGGTCGAACTGCTGACTTTGAGCAGCAGCTTTTCCCGGACGCAATGAAGACCCAGTACTTCGCCATATGCAGCGCGATGCATGACTTTGCTGCAAAGTGCTTCCGTACGTACATGCTTTCTTTTTTACTTCTTGTTTCGACTAACGGCACTCATCTCGCCAACAGCCAAGTCGGTTTGCGAATCACGAGCACTGAAGACTGAAGGCCAGGACCCAAGTCCCTTCCCCGACAGCAGTGCTCCCGCAAACCCTCTCCCGGCCACGTCGGTGACTTCGCCATCACCTACACCGACCGCGGTTTTACCTGCCCCATCCCGCCCATTGCACGAGGAAAGCGCGAACGCGACTTCGGCATCGGCATCGGCATCTCCTTCGCCAAGCTCGACCTCGGTTCCCACCCTTCCCACGCCGTTGACGCCCACGACATCGATGTCCACGCCGGTCGAATCCAACACAGGCCTCTCAGTACCCACACACATAGCACCGTCATCCTGCTCCCCCGCCGACGGTCTTCATACTCCCGAAACACACCCGAATACAAACGGGCCCACCGTTGCTCCCAAACCTCGACCACGTCCCGTCCCTATCCCCAAACCCACCGTACCACCGCCTGGGGCTGCACCGAACGTCCCCAACACCATACCGGATCATCTAATAGACCCGGCGCTTCTTGAGAATGGCGGCCTCGCGCTATCCACAGGGCCACATGCCCCTGCCCCTGTTGCTCCCTCCACCGCGTTGATGCAGCCTCCCTCGCCACATGTGCCCATCTTCGCAGTAGCGGCACAGCGCCGGCCTCAAACCCCACCCCCACTTCAACCTCCCAAAAGCCGGAGCCCCTTAGGACCACGCCAGTCCCAGCAGTCGTTGGCCTCACCTCCGAGTCCTGCTCATACATCCATAATGGAGGTATTCAAGGAAACACGTCCGGCTGTCCCGCCTTTACAAAGTCCGCCGACCCAGTTATCGACCAGAGTGGTATCCGAGGATGTGAATCCGCCCGACCTCCATACATCCGTGGATCCGACGAACCTCCCGCAGAGGATGGAGAGGTATTACAGGTTATTTGTGAAGGGGAAGGGCAGGTGGGGGGAGGGCTGGGCTCGATGTGTTGAGGCCTTTGTAAGGGTTGAAGGTATTGATGGGTGCCCGGTGCGTAACCAATGATTTTCTCTCCTCCCCCTCCATACCAACCCCCCGCGACAGGTTGAGAGCAACGGTCCCCGGTTCACGTCGCAGTCAAGGCCGGGCGAAGTCGAAAAGTGGTTCAAGTATGCCCGACCGATAGAGGACAGACCTATAGAAGACCTGGATGTTTGGGCCCGTTCTTGGTGGAGCTGGTGGGAAAACCTGGCACCTGGGCGATCGGTTTGTCGGGGAAGTCCTGAGGATTCTGTCAATGCCGATGGATTCTCCTGGGCTTGCCTGAATGTCACAACGAGCTGCGGCCTTCTCGTTGTGATTACATCCCTTTCTTGGTGGGGTTTGGCGGTGATGAAGCCAGAGATGGAGCCGGAGAAGATCAGGGAGTGGGAGGATGCTGTGGCGGAGGTTCGATACGCGTTTACGAAGGTCGCAGAGTTCAAGGAGGCCGAGGAAGCGGAGGAGGAGGAGAATGAGGAGGAGGAAGGACCTACGGGGTCGTCTCCGAAGGGGCGCAAACGGTACGTCTTTTGTTTCAGGTGTACATAGTCTAGCACTGATGATTATATTCAGAGGGGCCCCGTCACACTCCGCTCGTCGCCGAGCCAATAAGAAGAAGCGCACTGGGTAGGTGGGATGGCACGGTTGCGCCACAGTGTCTCCTCCTTCCCTCCCAGCTTTTTATTTCTTCTTCGGACACGTTAACCCCTTTTTGTCTGCCTTCCTCCAGTCATAGTAATAGCCCTCATATTGCACCCTAATTTCTACTGTCCATTTCATGTTTTTTCTTCTATACATCACCGTCGCCCATACACTTCTGTATAATTGAATATAGCTGCTACTTCCCTAGAAAAAATGACTTCAGCGTGTCCTGCAGTAATTGGTTACAAGGTGGCGGAAAAGCTGAAGCCGCTGAGCGTGAGCGTGAACATGCAAAGCATAAGGTGGCACAGGGTGGCACAAGGATTGAGCCAATCCAGGTATACTAGCCGAGAGGGTTGATGATATCCCAATTTGGATGTATGCAGAGGAAAAGAAATAAAAACAAAGTGCAAAGCGTGCACCATCCGTTTTGGGAAATACCCTGCTGACAGCGAAGAGCATTTCAGGTGGAGCCATGTTGGTGGGCATTATAATGGAGGCCCCGCCTGCCCAAATGTGCAGTGAGCGTGCTTCACGCGCGACATTACAATGGAGGCCAACGTTCTTGACGTGTTCCATTATAATGAGGCTACACGCTCTGGTGCCAAGTCATGGCGGTATAAACGTTCGATCGTGCCGTCCCAGTACTCGTCCGTGAGCAGATCTAACGCCATGAAAAGGACGGTCCCAGTCCGATCGCTACCATCATGTTTTGAAAGACCGTCGACGAATGCCAGGTCCCAGTCGTTCATGACTCCGGAGTGCTTTTCGCTTCGATCGACCATCACATTGTCGAGGCTGGGGTCGGTATGCTGAATACCGCGCCGCCAAAGTGCATAGTGACCTGAGCGAGATCTACTATTGGGTGGAGTCACGCAAGTAAAAAGAGAGCGAGAAACGCACATCGAAGACACTCCAGCCAAGCTCGTACGAACTCCTTTCCAACCAACGTCGTGATGGGATCCAGTCGGCGGAAGACCAGCACTCGCAGCGTCCGCGACTTAGTCGATCGCTTGCCATTTGATTTAGCGGTGTTGGCGATGCCGAGTGCATCTCTGATACCTCCCGTCGAGATTCCGAAATCTCGACAGCAAACCAAGTCGGGAAGATGACCTGCTATATCTGGATCTTTGGTTCCGAACTCTTCAGCCCTCCGAAGGACGGTCTCTTCGCTCACTCGAGAGACCTCGGGCCAATAGATCTTGACGGCCAGCGGGACACCATCGAGGAACTCTCCAGAGACGGGATGATTCGACTTCGTGCTAGCACCGAGCACGTCCGTACCGCGTCCTGTCAAGCTGTACCAAGAGGAGATGACGTCATTCGTGTGGATCGAGAGCGTGAAGGAGGGAGTGAATGTCAGGTCGAAAGGAAGTTGGCGGGTGGCTTCAGCGCGAGGCGAGCCGCGATCATCTACGCTGCTGTCATGATTGAGCTCAGCTTGGGGGTTTAACTCGAGATTGAAACCCCAGTCTTCGAGCGAGAACCGTTGGAATGCTAGAAGCAGGACGAGGAAACGTGGCACATCCTGGATGAAGTTGATGCCTTGCGACTGAATAGCACCCTCCCGGTCGTACCACCAGATCCACAGGACATCGTCTACAGGCTGCAATTAGGGGTGAATTCGAGTGGAAAGTACAGATGAGGACGAACCGATGACGAGCGAATTAATTGCATGCTTCACGCCGTGCGCACGAGCCAGCATCTCTGTTCCATACGAAGCGCATTGGATGATAGGTGGCTTCGGGGCCCTCGATTCTGAATCCTTCTTCGGGTCGTCGTCTGTGCGCTTCCGTTTCGTTCCACTAGACTCCGCTTGGGCCGCTGTTGTTTCTGAACTTTGCTTGGCGGATTTTCGTCCGCTGCGGCGAGGGGCTTCGAGGATGTTAAGTTCAGCCCAGCATCATGAAGTTAAATTCGAACGACGTACCAGTCGAAGACTCCACTCTCTGCTTCTTCGCTGCAGGAGCTTCAGCAACTTGAGAAGTTAGAATCATGAACACGTTGTCTATGTGGTCAACCACAGCAGCCGACGCCGTGCTGTACGTCTCTGGAGGAGGACCTAGTCGATACTTTGCAAGCTTAAGCTCCTCAGAGGACAGGATGTCTTGCCACGTGAAGCCATGCGCCGGCGGCGAAGTAGAGTATTGTGCTACGGCATCATCCCATTGCATGTCCCATTCCTGTGACGCGCGCTGAGCAGAAGCTAACGATACGATGACGATATCGGGTTTGCGATCGGAAACGAGGTTATCGTGGGCTCCCTTGAGAATCTTGGGGTCGCTGCGATGGAAGAGAATTTGGAGATCGCTCCGGCGTCTGAGACTCGGGATATCAAGCGACTGGAGTTTCGCCAACGCTGCATTGCAGGCTTTGATAAAGAACGGATACCTGGCTTGTTCTGGGCCACCGACGCTGCAGCTGGTACGACCGCGTGTATTTGAGGAGCTATTCGCCCAGGCAAAGCCAAGAAAGTGCTCACTATTGGGTCAGGTTTTCTCTGAGATCGGCATCGTTGGACACAGGCAGAACAGCTTCTAAACTCTCTTGAAGCAACTGGACTCCTTCGCGCTCGACATATTTGGCAGGCTGACAGCGGACGAGAAAATAGTGGAGCATGTCGTCTACCCCGTACTGATCGTGGTTTCGGACGTCGTTCCCGAGCCATTCTCTGACATTGTCGACACTGTTGGTCATAAGTATCATCCCGTAGAGACAAGATTTCTCGGAAAAGACACACTTCAGATCGGTAAAGCCACCGCTGCGGGCATGAGAGGACGAGCTCATCTTCTTGGACGGCGTCGACAAGAACTGAAACAAGCGCGCGGGTTCGTCTGCGTCTGTACCACGTGGCGGCGTAACTGGTCTGGGATGATTATTGGCGGAGTCCATCGAGGCTAGCTGCAAGCTTGTGCGACGTCTCGGACGTTGGTGCAACGGGAGTGAACGACAAAGCCCTTGGGTCTTTCGTGCGCCTCGTGTGGCTTAGCGCCACCTTTTTTCCCGCCACGAAACATGCTTCTGGAATCCTAATTTGGCAGATGATTTGCATGATTGAGGTTGGAAATGATCGCTCGAGGTTTATCGTTCCTTTCAACGGCGACGGCATTTTCTGGTATTTCGCAGTTATCTCTTCCTTCCCAGTATTCTCCTATGCCATATAGATTACAAGTCATCAGCGAATTCGGGAAAAAGTGGCCGGACGTTGGCCGGGTTACAATCCCGCGCCGGAAGGGAAGCCGATCGTAATCCATTATCATTTCAATATAACCAGGAAGGCACGATCGTAGCACGTTCCATCCCGAGATCAGGCCCATGTGGTGTTGGACCGACTTACAATCCGACACAACACGGACGAGTAATCAGAATGCGTTACAATCCGAGGTCTCACTTCCTCGGGGTTCGAGCAAGGTTCGAGCTGGTTTGGGCTAACAGTCAAACTGTACGTTATGTGCGTGAGTTTTCGCCTACTCTTCTGATCGCACTGTGAACATGATTGCATATCCTGGGAGAAGCAACCTCTCACAAGTATCGCTGTCTACTCATTGACCCTCCTTCGTGCGTCGACTGTGATGCAGATGTAGAATTTGAAGAGCGTAAGGGCTCCGAAGAAGGTAACATAGCTCAAGTACTGCATGAACAAACAAAGGCCCGTTAGTGTAGTAGTAATGTACCATGTAATTAGATAGTTTTGAATGAAATACAGCCTTTGCTCCATGAAGCGATAATCCTGAGCCATTTACAACCCGCCGGGTGGCAGATAAGATAAGAAAGGAGGCGAAGAGGTGACGCGGGACCGGGGGCGAGAGGCGGAAGAGCCTCCGCCTCCGGCCCTTTTGGCATTTAGCCGGGTGCCTATCGGGTTTATTGTAACGGATGGAAAAGTTGATGGCAAGGGTTTAATCCACTTCCACCTGTTACAATCTGACGGACAATGTTGCCGTGGATTGGCCGGGATTGTACGCGTTACAACGCATTGCGCGTCATTGTAACCGGTTAGAGCATTTTCCCGAATTCGCTGATGGCAGACGTACGCCGCTGGCCGTTCGTCTATCTCGTGCAAATTCGGGTTCGGCCTTGTCTGCGTTGAACGGAGTCGTCATCCACTGTGCCCCATGGCCATAGCGACTTTCACAAGGGGAGCTGAGATCTTGAATGAAACACCGGGAGTCGATTTTTTTTTAAGGGAGGCGAGGGGTGAACTAACTAACTGTAATTAATATTTAAATGATTTAAATAATATTTCTGAGCCAATCAGAAGAATCTCCGCTCTTTATTTCTTTTGGAGAATGAAGTATAAGTGATTTATAATCAGTCTATCATTCAATCTGCACTTGAATTAGGCTAGGTTATGTTCGCCGTTGACGTCGATCTTCCCCTACCCTAGCCTAGGCTAGGTTATGTTCGCCGTTGACGTCGATCTTCCCCTGCCCTAGCCTCTGAGCCCAAACCTTATGCTTCTATATTTCCATGATGCATGGCTGCTCAATCACACTCAATTTACCAGTCTGAGCTTTGCGTAAGACTGTCCAACGGCAAAGCTCTTAATTATTTCACTCTAGTTTTGACCCAGACATCAACATTTTGCCCACAAAATGGTTCTATAATAATCCACTTAGCATCAGC